CCTTCCACTGGCCACACAGGTTATTTGTGAAATACAAAATCGATCCTGATGAAAAAAAAATCATCTTTTCACAACGTTTTATTAGCTTTATTCATTCACTACCATGTTATTTCTATAACCAAAAAATATATATGCAATTTACTGCTTATCCTCTATTTTTCTTATATCAATGAGGCGGACCCTTTGAGCATAGAAAATAGAGGAGCTGCCCAGAGCGTCTATACGTTTTATTGGTTATACAAATATGGTTATATTCGACATTGAACTGTCAATATGCTGCCTATCTCTTTTTCACTCAGCGAAGTGTAAGTCTAAGTCTTATTCATAAATGAAACAGATAATAGAAATTGTTTCGTGTTCTGGTAAACATTTTTAAGATGACGTCATTTAACCCCGCCTTGCGGCCGATTCCACCTTTTATTGTTTCAGATTTGCTGTTATACAAAATCGTTTGATATTTCTTAATTTGAAAATTTTGCGAATTTTTAAACAGTCTATAGTGATTTTTCCAATTCATTATAAAGTACGAAGATGACTATGTGTTGTGTAAGAGGCTGTGCCTCAAAGTATAGTCAAAAATTACGCGAACTATCATTTCATATGTGAGTGATTTAGTTTTTGCTATAAATATAATGTAAAAACGTTTATATCTTTTGCGACAGTAAGTTGATGGATGTAATTATTTACCCTAAACCTTTGATTCATATTATTTAATTACTTTTTTTTTTTTATAGGATAAGGGTGACAAACGAGCACACAGTCCACCTGATGGTAAGTGGTCGCTGTGGCCCATAGACATCTACATCTATCTTCGATTAAGAGTCAAAATGCAGATGCGTTGTCACCCGTGAGGGCTAAGATGGAATGCCTCGTTTCCAGTAAAAAGGGTCTCCGGTTCTCTACACTCACCATACGAAACACAGCAGCGTTAAGCTGCTATTTTACGCTGGTATTCTGTGAGAGCGTGGTCCTTCCCCGGTCGAGCCGACCCATTCGTGCTACAACCATAATATAGATGCAGCATGGCTCTACCACGTATAAATCTACTTCCTATTATTCTTTGCGTATCTATAAAATTTAGTTGTTCGTAAATAGTGATGTTCATTGCTAACAATAAATTCTTTCAAGAACATACTTTATTAAGGTTTTTCTTGATTTATTCTGTCATATTATGTGAAAAAATTTTGCGTTATGCATTGCATTATTTCGGTGTCATGGGTCTGAGCAGTGAGCATAAATGGTTAACTAAATTATACGGAAGCGGAGTTACATTCATGTTAGGTAGGACCTACGGTACCTACATAATAAAAGTGACGCAAAGCAACAAAGATTACATAAAGTACAAGCTAGCGCCTGTATGTAATCTCTCTCTGTAGGCAAACATGGAAATACCTCAGAGATTATGGACATTATTATTGACTTTATTATATATTCTTTAGTTATATATTGTATATATTAGCTCATCCGTGCCTTCTAATAATGCAATATACATAAATGTTAAGCATATTTTTATCTATAATTTACCTTAAGTCACCTTTTATAACAACCATGGTGTTGTTTAATTTGTAATATTATTTGCAGCTCTAAATCATTATTTTCTGTCCTATCATTTTTAGTTTGCCAAAGACGAAAAAATATATATTACGTTATTAAACTGCTTTCTATAACCAACAAAAATTTATTTATTTTCCTGCTCCATCCATCCATCCATTACATCTCTCTCCATTACGTCTCTACTATAAATTGACTCATATGGCATTTTGCCACAGCTACTCCGCTTGGCAGGCGGTTTCGCATCCGCAGATTTTGATTATTTTGTGTTTACTTCACTTGTTCTTTCTTGATTTTGTTGCCAAAATCCAGAAATCACCAATGCTAACCCGGGGTGGATATAAAATATTTCACGGCAAATAATTTATTTGATATGATAATTTGTAACCACAAGTGCATTATAAAGTATAATAATATTCAAATCACAGCGATTCTAAAGTAGTTTTTCCTTCAAAAGATATTAGCTTAACCGGCCACACGAAACTGGTGCACGAGCCAGAATAGTAGAAAAAAAAATGGTGGGGGGTGCTACTAGCTCAAAAAGAGAACGCCATCCTGTTTAACCATCCTGGCTTTAGATTTAGAAGTAAAGCTTATTCTGTATTATATGAAATCAGAGCAACTAGCTTGCTAACTTACAACTTACAAGCACGAGTTGCTATCCGTGCATTAAGTATCAAAATCGTCTTCAAACTATTATTAAAACCATAAAATTCGAGCAGCAATCATCTCAAGGTTAAATTCACGCGAAATTCCCCTAGCCTCCCTAATCATTAGAGAAAATATAATTTTGCATATTTAAAAATATAAAAAATACATATAGGTGTTAATAAATTTTAAAAGTTGATTGACTTTACATCACTAAAAAATGGGCGGAGCTTACAGCGTCCGCCATTTATTGTTTCAATTTGACACGATTTTTTTGTAGGCTTGCCATATAGATTACCCCCTAATAGATACCGCATCATTGAATATTTGTTCTGTTTTGAGTTCACCAAATGTGGCGGTATGCAAGGGTTGCGGGGGACGTGTCAAATGCGCTGTGATTGGACATTTACAGGTCAAACTTAGAATGCACCAAACCGTAGTGATGGAACAGGGTTGGGACGTTGATCGATAAATTTGGGATTTATTGATTATTGATAAATGATAAATAAATATATTGATCAATTTTAATTTGATGTATATTAAAAAATAAAACAATGAATACATATATTTGTACATTTAATTTATAAATATATATTTGACTGATTTTTAAAATGGATAAGCTTAGTATAAATTGCCTCACAGAATTCTTAGGATCTGTCTTCCTGGATAAGTAGAGTAATCTTATGTCTATGTATTTTGCTGTGACACTCTTAGCTAAATCAATGACATGATTACAACTTCCGTGATCGAATTGGTGATTTTTTATTTCAGGAAAAATATCCTCATTAACAAAACTGCATAATGTTTTGGACAACCATCATCTGTACCACTTCCCTAGTGTTTTTACAGAGAATAAACAAGTGTTAAATGTTTTGCGTACATAATTATAAGCCTCAGTTGAGTAAAAATTTATAGTGAGTGTAAAAGTACTCAACTGTAGTGAATATTTTTTTCTAACAATTTTGCCTGATTTTCCTTTCAATATTTGACGACGCATAATTTCACCACATTTGACTCCTAAGGAACTTAATACGTCATTGTTTTCGGCTGTTAATAAATGTTTATTTCCTAACTCTACCAATAATGACTTCAAAGAAACTATTTGTCTTTTTAGTCTTCTGTTGGAATCACTTAACTTTTTTTTTATCTTTTCTGTTCATTAGGTTGGTTAATTTGATGATTCTTCTGTAAAGATGTTTTTAACTGGAGTATCAAATGCAGATGGCGTATCAGGTATAAGAGAAAATTTTCTTTCTCGTTTTGTAGGCGTTTCTAAGCATTGGCTCTGATTTTTAGGTGTTGGCGAGTTTTTTCCGTCTTCCAGCGCCAACCAGTAATCTGAAATACGTATTCGTTTCTTTTAAAATATTACCAATAATTATTAAGGTACTTATAATACGTTTATTATTCATTTATACATATTATAATCATGTAATTAATTCTTATTATAATCATGCCAATTTTTTTAACGATGTGCCAGCCACAGGAATTTCCGTATTTTTAGCTGCAATATCTGCACTTGCACCTATGGTAGGGACGGGTACTTAGAAGTAGTATTATTAATTAATACACCATACGGCACGTCTTCCAAATTTAGATGTACTTAATAATAATAGTAAGATATTACTGAAGTTCATGTACCACTAGAATACCAAGACAAAACAATAATCGCATTATAAGTTTTACATGTAACATTCACCTTAATATTACTTAAGATTACCTAATATTACTATTCACTTAATGCTATTATTGTGTTATCTACATTGGTACAAATCTTTAAAAAAATGTAAAAGTCCATACCAAAACTGGCAAGTATAGAGATAGTATAGCGGAATCCAACAGCCTTCTATGGTTTTTCATAATATGAAGATTGTCGTCTGTGAAGTGTCTTGAGCATAGCACACTATTTTTGGTGGGAAACCATTCGTTTCCTCGACAAGTTGCGTCGATCCACATCCTTTTCCTTTCGGGGCATTTAGGAAACCTATAACATATATGTAGGTACCACAACGTTATTATTTTTATAAAATAATATGACTTCAAAAAATATAATTAAACGATGACCAAACAAATATCGACTTGAAAATCACAACACTATCAATACACGTGCTGTTGTTAGACAAAGACAACTATTGTAATTTACGTAACGAGTGAAAGGGACATTTCAAAAAGACATCAACGGGTGCTTAATTGTTATCACTTTTCACCATTAAATTACCAGTATAAGTTGATCTCCGGTGCATTTGAAATAAGTTAAGGTGATAAGAATAGAATTTACTCTACCGATGAAATTTTATGCCATCTTTTTGATAACTAAATATTTTAGTTGACTTGCCACATCATTTCACTGCACAAGAAGCCATTTGTAATGTATTTTGGATATAAAACTATTTTTAAATTGTCAAGAACTCGCACGTGCCTACGGGTCACAAACTTGGTCAATACTAGTGTCGTGATCACAGAACACTAATACCCTTAGGCGGGGTCGTGATTCTTAGCGTTACTTCGTATGCTAGCTACAGCAAGTATGTGTTGCGCGCGGTTGTGGCCCTGTATGCGGAATCTATTAGGAGGTAATCTATGGCTTGCCATGTCCTCTATTTTCTATGCGCAAAGGGCGGACCACTGACTTTATCTCTATGGGCAAAACTGACAACTGTACTTCAGTAACAAAGAGTATAATAATATATAAGGAAGTTCAGTAATCTGTGGTGCAGCCAGGCCAGCTGTCATATTTTTAGGATTGAATGATTTTTGATTTAAATTATTTTACTTAGGTTTTTCTGCTGTATAACATTAAAATGGCAAAGAAGACTTACGATCTGCTTTTCAAACTTCTCCTGATTGGTGACTCTGGTGTTGGCAAGACTTGTATTTTGTTCAGATTTTCAGACAATCACTTTACTACGACTTTCATATCCACTATCGGTAAGAAATGTTAAACCACCTTTGTGATGTTCTTTTACTTACAATCGTTCCAAACAAGATATACCTCATTATGAGTACAGTTTTATTACGTATTAAACATTTGTCTCTACGCAGCGCAGTTATCTTTTTATAGGTCACCAAATATCCCAAGTGAAACTGCTTATTGTCATCCTTCGTTTGGTTTGTGATTAATTGTTGAGTGAAAAAACAGAAGTGAAAGAGCAGTAGCTTGATATCGTAAAATTAAAACATAAAAGTTGAATTTATTAAGTAAAGTTGTTTTCATTTTGTATATTTAAGTGTTCAAGTATTATTATTTTTATTCAGGCATAGATTTCAAAATTAAGACTGTAGAGCTTCGCGGTAAGAAGATAAAGTTGCAGATATGGGACACAGCAGGACAGGAACGTTTCCACACAATCACCACATCATATTACCGTGGAGCTATGGGGATAATGCTTGTCTACGATATAACAAATGAAAAAACATTTGATGATATTGTTAAGTGGTTAAGAAACATAGATGAGGTTAGTATGATCTAAAGAAAACTAACTTATTTACATAAAATTCAGATTAAATCTCTCTTTTTCTCTTTCAAGTTTAAGTAATGTTAAGCTGGCTTGGCAGACATTGCTGGGCCTAGTAAACTATAATATGGTGTGATGAGTTGCACTCTAAATTATTTAAGTGTAAATATAAAATTTGATAATAAGTCAACCATAGTACCACCTATGGTGTTCAGATTTTGTGATCTCCCTTTTTGGCACCATACCATCATCATATGTTTCAAGAGTGGTATGTTAATAGTTTGATTATAATTTGACTATAGTGCCACCTATTACATCCTAGAATCTATGTACCATTGTCTTGGTGAAACAAATATATTATGTGAATATGACAAATGTCCATCTTACTTTTATTCATGCAATATTAGGCTTAGCTTTCCATTGACGTCCGTCGAGTTGGGTGTTGATACATATTTTTACAGAAAGGTTACGCTATTATAAGCACACACACAAAGTTTCAACATGCGGAAACGTATATGCGGAAATGTAACATTTCTGTGAAAAAAATATCAACCTTCAACTCGACGGATGTCAATGGGGATTGGCATAAATATTTCAAAAATAATTGATTTTCAATAATTTTTTTCTCAAAAAGTACGCATTTCCGCATGTTGAAACTTTGCGTGTGTGCTTATAATAATGTAACCTTTCTGTAAAAAAAATATCAACTCCCAACTCGACGGACGTCAATGGAAAGTTTTACCCAATATTATTCCTAAAATTACAGTTCCATTAATTATCATATTTTTAAGTTGTTTTTCTTATTAACAGTGTGCCTTAATTTTTCCCTCATTCTAGTGTAGTGATTGTAGTAATGTAAATATTTCAGCATGCAAATGAAGATGTGGAGAAGATGATCCTGGGTAATAAGTGTGATATGGAAGAAAAACGTGTTGTCAGTAAAGAACGTGGGGAAGCTGTGAGTAAAGATTTCTTAATATGTGATTACATTTTCATTTTAAAACTTTGACATAACAACAATTTATCTTATTGGCCTTCTTACAAAAAGTAGTTTATAATTATTCTCAGGTTTAAGAAGTCCTGAATATGGAAATAAAAATGTAAAGTATGGAGTATGATAGCAAATGAAATAAAGCTTTTGCAAAGGCTATGGCACCGTGAACCTCTCTTAAAAGACCATCAATTAACCACTTTTTGTAATAAGATAGCTTAGATTACTCTTTTAGCCTAGAGATTAACTTTGCCCTTTTTTAATTAAGGTTTACAGAGCAATATGAACTTACTTATTACTTTTATTAGGACCGAAATCACCAAAGAATTAGTAATTTGTACAGTATGGGCGACATTTCTAAAGTATAATATATCTACTGGTATATTCTCCTAAAAACTTATGTCGAGCAGTGGATTAAAAATTGGTGAGCACAAGGCAATGATGGTTTCAATTAAAAATTAACTAGCTGTCTAAAGTTAAGTTGACTGATCATTTGATCATTGCATTTCATTAAATTCATCCACTACAAGCCATAAAAGTCCACTGCTGAACATAGGCTTCCCCCATAGATTGTGTCATAAGGTGATTTTGCCATAGTTGCCACGCTTTGCAGGCAAGTTGGCAACTGCAGTTTTTTTATTATTTTGAGCTGTTGTCAGGTGGATGCTGCCTATCAGGTATTTCAATTTCACCTGTCACCTCTTACAACACCCACAGGACTATGTGAGGTAGTGGATATTCTTACACCGTCACAACACAGTAGGATCATTGCATTATTTTAAAAACTTATCATTCAACCTCAATGTGGCAATTATCAAATCATCTTTAACGAAATGTCCGTAACGTGTGGCGTGCAGATAGCGCGCGAGCACGGCATCCGTTTCATGGAGACGTCGGCTAAGTCGAACATCAACATCGAGCGCGCGTTCTCTGAACTGGCGGAAGCGATCTTGGACAAGACTGCAGGGCGCGAGGCGGACGCGGACGCTGCGCGCATCGCGGTTGAGCGACGCCCCTCCCGCGCCCCCCCAGCACGCGCCTGCTGCTCCTAACTCACACCCTCCACTGCCCCCACCACCGCGCCGCTCTACTACCGCTAGTGAAGCGCGAACACAACTACGCTTTCAAACGGATGACTGCTATTCACTTTGCGCCTCCACTTCGCTTGCACCAATGCTCTACTGACTCTGGGTGGAGTGTTCTATATCAGTGTTTAAAAATTGAGGACTTAGAGATGTCAACACTCTGTTAGTGACAGACATTCTAGGTTTTGGTAGCAAAGTTAAAATTAACTGCAGAATCTAAGATTCTTATATTAACTTTAAATTCTCAAAGAACACTAAGGAAGTACCGAATCTATTAGCCAAGTAAATGTAACTTTCACAGCTTAATTTCTTTCAGTAACTTGAACAATTATTTCTTTGTCTACAAATATTAATGATTTATGAAAGAGGACAAAGAATCTCTGATTTGAACTATTAGTAACAGTTCTCGCATATTTTATATCTTAAATTTAAACTAACAATAAATTTTAAAATTCTAACATCATGATATTTTTACTGTTGTATAAAATTTAATTTTTGTCAAATATATGTACTTCTTGGGATGTCACTGATCAGTACTTTAGCAATTAATTATTTTATATAGATACTTTGGCAACTAATTATTTTTTAACGTCGAGTGTCTTACAACACCTGCTGTACAATAAATTTACTTTTTATACTTACATTTGTTCATTTCCTAATGAACTTTAAATTTGCGATTATTGTACGAATTGTTAATTTATTACCTAAAAATAAAAATTGTAAGAAAAGATTTGGCAGGAATAGCCTGACGTTAAATTATTTTTATTCTAGATATTTGTGCTACAAACCCTAATACATTTAAAAGCGAAAATGCAGCTTTTAAAACCGCAGAAAATAACTTTAAATATAAAATTTGGGTAGTTGGTTCAAGTATGTCACGGTGTAGTAATGGGGCTAGGTACTAAGTACTAAGGTTCATATATAATGTAACGTTTGCGTAATCACTACCGTTATGTCGTTTTTATATTTTATTTAAGTGTAAAAGTTTAAGCAAGTTTTGTATCTAAAGCAGACGGCGTCGATAGATTTTTTACATCGAAAGTGAGTTATGTGATTTGAGGAAATTTAAATTTTTAAATAAAATAATATTTTGACTAGTATAAAATTTGGTATAGAAATTAAAAGCAAGGCGGAAGTAAATAATACAATTTGGTACAAATCACAGTACTAATAACAACTCTTAACTCATAATGTTTATTTATGGAATGTCCATAGTATTTATTACATAACTCACTTTACAGAATTTGAAACGTTACCACGAGAATTCATATGACATTGCTGTTGTGTGGTGTCCGCGAGGATATTCAACTTGTCTCAAATAAAGAGATGTATATTATATTTTTGAAGTCAAAACTCTGGCACTGTATGCTGGAGTCCTAGCAGTAAGGTGTGAGGTATATTTATGTGCAATAATTCAACGCAACAATACTTAGCTGCAGGTAAACCTTGCGATCCTGTTCGGTTTAGAACTGCATTTCTTAACTTGGAAATTATTGAGGCATACTTTAGGAGCAGAGTCGGATGAGGCCATGTAAAGACCGCTAGGCAATACATGTGTCCCTCTTTTCTCAGCTTGTGGGGCACAGACAGTCGCCTAATGTGTCTTGAGGTTAATCTGGCACTATTTATAAGTACTTATAAATATGAAATAAGCTATGATCTTCTATATCATAAATTAAAAATATCCTCATTTTTGTACAAATGATAGTTAAATTACAACTTATAAAAAAGAACGCAGTTATAAACTATAGATTGTTCTCATATAACCCTCTTCAGTTTTCATTGTATGATTACCGTATCATGCATAATATTTTATTTTTCCAAAATCTTAATTTTGGGTTGCACTTTTTTAATATCTAAAATTTAATCCCTTTGTGGCTGAACACTCAAACGCTACTCAATGTTAAGATGTCGTCAAGTCTCGTGGTGTCACTGTCACTTTGACTTAAAGTGATAGGGACAGCACGAGACTTAACGACTTCTTAAAATTGTGTAGAGTTTGAGTATTTGGGCATTAGTGTATTTTTAGACTTTACTGGATAATTGTCAGAAGCGTGCTCTTGTTGACAGTGTTTTACTTAACTTCGCTTGTAGCAACTAATAATGCAGTAGTGATTGAAGCTCTTAACTTCTATTGCGGTGTTCGCAAGATCGGTATAGGTGGGACTCTGCTACGCTCTTTGTTTAAATTTAAATTAAACAATATGTGTATAGAAATAGGAATTTGTCTTGTATATACGCTTGATGCTTCCAGTTTTAACCGACATGTTCAGTCTACTTGTAATTTTAGACAGTTAATTGTGGATACTTGAACCTGTTATGCTCAATTTTAAGATCCGCTAAGTCTCGGTCCTCTCTGCAGACTCTATCACTTTAAGTCAAAGTGACTGTGACGCCATGAGACTTAATGACATTTTAAAACTGAGGAGCGTTTGAGTATTCGGCCACAAGTATCCTAAATAAGATTTTTTTCCCGCAATATTTTAATGGGCAAAGGTTATGTTGGTTATGCCATGTTAGAATGTATAACTGTCATGGTTGTGGTGATGTCCGACTCATCCAAGGCTTATTATAAACTTTAGTATTGGCATAGTCAGCGGTTTAGTCAAACAACACAATGTAAGCACGCAGCTTGAAAGCCATTATCACAATTGTTCTTAACAAATCATGTAATTATGTACTAACCGGCTGCCGTACCGAAGTTTGAATTTGCGATGCGATTGTAATAGTTAACACTAAATTAAAACTATTTGAAAAACGCTTTCTTAGTGCACTTCCTCAAAACCGCAAGTGTTCTTATTTTATTTTGTTATTACCTTGATAAAGAGCTAGTGGACATCGGTACAGCAGTCGCGTCCAACGTAATTTTTAATAAGTAATAATTTAAGCATCAATATTGTACTCAACTGTAACTTACGTGTATGAATAAACAAAATGAATATTTTATTGTACGATGTATGTGTCTCGTCGGTTTTTACCCGCTTTTATAAATAAATATCGGCATTGTATATTATGTTCATAATAAACGATTTATCGTGAATGGCCTTTTATTACCCGTCATTCTGCAATTGTTTACACCCATACGAGTGTTCTAAGTCACTCCTCCAATAATAAGGCATTTGTAAATCTCTCACTATACGCTAGAGACAGACTGGTTTGGGCTCTTGGTTGTGTTGACAACGCAACGTCGACCTGCATTGTCCAGATCGGCGTAGGAAGGTGGAGGGGATAAGGTCTACACCTTTGCGCAGTGCACGCGTTTTATTGTCAAAATGGGAGACGAACCGCTCATCAATTTATTAAAGCGATATGAATGTATTTATAATATTAAATGTGTTTAATATCTGAATGCTATATAACGTAATACAGAATGGGAAGCGATAGCAAATTACTTTGTGGCGTGGATATCAGAAAACATGGTATAATTTAGTACTCTTGCGTCCGCTAAGTGACAAGTGTCTGACGCCAAACGTACGTTCACGTTGCATACGTGAGACCAGTCTGTCCCTACCTTAATGCTAGCGCGTATATTGTACGACTAGCGACCCGGCCCGGCTTCGCCTTAAAGACATATTAATGTGGCATCATTTACATTTAAGATTATCAAATACTTTATTTAATCAATTTTTCGTTTCTTTTTTTAAATATCACGATCACACTATCAATAACCACTTGCATCAACCGACTTCCTGCATGTGTTAGGTGTAGGTTGTCCATCAATTGGGGGACGCCCCTACACTCTGCTTACTGGTGGCTGCTACTTGAGAAATTTTTCCCGTTGATCATATTCATAACCCCCTTAACTTATAACGATCAAAATATATATTTCTTATTTTAATTAGATTACCAACGATTGTTTCGCCAATAAAAGTTTTAATTGGTACAGCTTAGTATCTAAGATATAATGCACAATCACTTATAGATAATCATCACTTACACAATGAAACATGAAATATGGCTATAAATTAATAGTTACATCTCTAATTTTTTTTTATTTTGTGACTATCATACAATGTACGTCAAGGATTTTCTTATAACTAAAAATAAAAATATTAGCAATGCTATTAACATTACTAATATTCCCGTTAACCACCCCTGCTCAGCTCAAAATGCTTGTGTTAGAAGTGGTCCACGCATAGAATTATTACGTATTATTTATATATTATGTATTAGTTATATTAGTTTTTTTTTATAGCATAGGGTGACAAACGAGCAAACAGTCCACCTGATGGTAAGTGGTTGCTGTGACCCATAGACATCCACATCTATCCTCGTTTGCGAATTAAAATGCAGATGCGTTGTCACGCGTGAGGGCTAAGATGGAATGCCTCTTGTCCAGTAAAAAGGACCTCCGGTTCTCTACACTCACCATACGAAACAGCAGCGTAAAGCTGAGCTATTTTACGCTCGTATTCTGTGAGAGCGTGGTCCTTCCCCGGTCGAGCCGACCCATTCGTACTACAACTGTACTATTAATATACTTGCAGCATGGCTCTACCATCATTATCGTGTTTATTTTATTACATTTTATATTCTCATAAAATACATCATCGTACGTAATACGTAACAGATATGGTATTGGCCCAGATGTCTCATGCTGACCACTATTTAAGACACTGGGGATCTTACCCGTGCCTTGTTTGTATATATTAGAAGTTGCTCAGTTTGTAAAACAACACGGGAAGAGTTTCTATAAACTTAATAAAGAAGTGGTATCCATGTACACGAGATACCCAGATCGGATTGTAATTAGCGAAATACCAAAAAGTAAACGCTTTAGCAAAAGTTGTTACTGGATGGGTAAAACAATATATAATAAAATACCAAACATAATTAAAGATCTTCCTATGCAAACATTAAAAAAAATTATACCAGTGGCTTCTTCAAAATACATTTTATTCGGTAAATGAGTTTTTAAATTACTGATGACAACTCTTTATAGGGTTATAGCTCATAATTGGCATTTTTTGTTATTAACTGGCATGGTATATAATACTCGTATTGTCTAATTTATTTTCTTTATTCGTTAATTTCATTCATGTCATTGTAGAAGCGTGCTCGTCGCGACCCCTGCCAGCCCTTTTCAGGGCTGCAATTCTACTAGCTGCGCACCCATGCCAACGAGGGTTAGGGCGTCCCCCCAAGGCGACGCACACCAGCTCGTCCCCGTTGGTGTGGAATGCAGCGTGCAAAGCGGCGATGGGGACCGCCACCCGTCACGCACAGCCCGACACGGCGGAAGGTGGAGGACAGAGTGCAGAGTTGGCACGTGGAATGTTAGAGGAGGCATGAGAGATAAGACGAATGAGTTGATCGAAATAATGAAAGAAAGAGAATTAGATGTCGTGTGTATGTCGGAGACCAAACGGAAGGGCAGTGGTACTGAAGAGCTCCCTGGCGGGGCGTTAGCTCTATGGTCAGGAGTCCCGGAGAGCGAGAACGCTTGCCAGGGAGTGGGGGTGCTGCTGTCTTCTCGGTTGGTCGATGTTATGACTGAATATAAGGTTGTGAACTCAAGACTTCTCTGGGTTCGCTTTAAATTGGGACTGACGAAGTTATTCCTTTTGGCTGTTTATGCGCCGGTAGCTTCGTCGTCCAGGGCTGAGCTGGAGGAGTTTTGGGAGAATGTAAGAGAAGTTCTAGATTTAGCTAGGGGAAACGAAAGAATTGTTGTATGTGGTGATTTGAATGGATGGGTTGGTACCGCTCGACCAGGGTACGAGTCGGTACTTGGAAAGTTTGGCGATAAAAGGGTTAATGATGCTGGCAAGCTTATACTGGCGGTGTGCAAGGAAAAGGGTCTTCTTGTGACAAACACTATGTTTAATCACAAGAAAATCCATATGTATACTAGAGAACGAAAGAATGAGAGAAGTATGATTGATTTGTTCCTGGTGGATGACCGACTGCGAAAACAGGTGATGGATACGCGAGTGTTCAGGGGTGCTGACCTGGGAACGGATCACTATCTAGTGATTACTAGATTTAGGGGTCTGTTCGCGGGTTGGCGCTACCGGACGGCAGTAACAGAACCACAGTCGGTCTGTCGCATCCGAAGCTGGAAGCTTCAGGAAGCGGATACTAGGGACAAATATCAAGCGAGGGCAGCCGAAAAGCTTGACACCATCGATGGCAGAAAAGAATGTGTAGAAAGAACTTGGCAGAACCTTAGGGATGGAATGGTAAGTGCAGCGGAAGAAGTGTGTGGAACAATAAAAAGAGGCAGTAGTAAAAGAAGAGATGCATGGTGGAATGATGAAGTGAAAGAAGCTGTAAAGAAGAAGAAGAAAGCATGGTTAGACTACTTGGCCTCTAGTAATGATAAGGATATGAGAGAGAAGATGAAAGAAAGATATAGGCTGCAGAAAGTTCACACGAAAGCACTGATTGAGGAAGTGCGTGAAAGGTGTAGAATGGAAGCGGACGAAAGGTTGTCGCACAACTTTAAGGAGAACTCCAAACTCTTCTGGAAAGAGGTTGGAAGGACCCGGAGTGGTGCGACGGCCTTAAGAATGAACAAAGTGCTTTCGAGAACTAATGACGTCCTCTCAGAAAAATCGGACGTCATGCAGCGATGGAGCGAATTTTATAGAGAAATGTATGCGTGTGATGATCTTAGTGAGGGATCCGGGGATGACGCCGTGACTGGTACGCCAGACCCGGACCTCGATGACACTGAGATCATCAGTATGAAAGAGATTGAACGAGCGATTCGAAGTTTGAAATGTGGTAAGGCTGCGGGACTAGACAGAGTTACTGCTGAAATGGTCAAGTATGGTGGGCCTCGCGTCTGGGACAGCTTTCATCTGCTGTGCAATTTGTGCTGGCGGACGGGGGATGTCCCGGATGATTGGCGATCCGCAGTCATTGTGCCTTTATATAAAGGTAAAGGTTCACATTTTGACTGCGGGTGCTATCGGGCGATCAGCTTGACCAGTTTAGCAAGTAAAGTTTACTCGAAGGTTTTGACACGTAGGATGCAAGAGAAATCGGAAAGATTTCTATGGGAGGCACAATGCGGATTTAGACCTGGAAGAGGATGCACGGATCAAATGTTTTCTCTCCGCATGATCACGGAGAAGCTTCTGGCTGCTAACCAGAAGATTTTCTGTGCTTTTGTGGATCTTGAGAAAGCATTTGATAAGGTTGTAAGGAAGAAAATGTGGGAACTGTTGCCGGGGTATGGTGTGGATGGTCGATTGCTAAGGGCTGTGCAGTCTCTTTACTGTGACTGTAAAGCCTGTGTGCGGGTAGGGCATGACCTGTCACCCATGTTTAACGTCCAAACGGGCGTAAAGCAGGGTTGTGTCATGTCTTCCTGGCTGTTCATACTGTATCTCGACAGCTGTTTACAGAAGCTGAAAGATAGTTGTTTGGGTGTGAAATTGGGTGACATTAAAGTAAATTGTCTGCTGTATGCTGATGATGCAGTGCTTATTGCACCATCAGAGGCAGAACTGCAGGCATTAGTCACGTGTATGAAAGAGGAATGTGAAATTAAAGGTCTCCGTTTGAATGCTAATAAAACTAAGGTTCTGGTATTTGAAAGGGACGAAGAGAGAACGAAGTGTGAAATATGGGTAAATCAGGAATGTCTAGAACAGGTAAATGATATTGTATACTTGGGGAGTGCTTTTAGCCGGGATGGAAGATGTGATTTAGATGTGGACAGGCGTGTCGCTGCCGGGAACAAAGTCAATGGTGCCCTGACTGCGTTAGTCAAAAGGCAAGGCGTAGCGAAGAGTGCACGCCTTGCAATACATAACGCAGTGTTGGTACCGACTTTGTTATATGGCAGCGAAACCTGGGTATGCCAGAAGAAGCATAAAAGTAAGTTGAATGCAGTGGAGATGCGATCTCTTCGTAAAATGTGCGGCGTTACCATGGCCGACCGAAAGCGAAACGAAGAGATTCGCAATATGGCAGGTTTGAAAGATAACCTTATCACAAAAATTGATAAGGGCGTGCTTCGGTGGTTTGGGCACGTTGAGCGAATGAGTGAAGACCGAATGGTGAACAAAATATATAGCGCGAAAGTTAATATTAAAAGGTGTCGAGGTAGACCGAGACTAACTTTCGAAGACCATGTGAGCAAATTGCTCGAAGAGGGTAGGGTCAAAAGTACTCGGATACCTAGACGTGCATGCATGAAGAAGATAATGAATCTGAAAGAAGCGAAAGAGGTTTGTAAGGATCGTGACACTTGGCGATCTGTTCTCTCTGGCTACCCCGTCAGGGATTGTGCGTGAAGATAAGTAAGTAAGTAAGTAAGTTAATTTTATATATATATATATATATATATATATATATATCTTTATTTTAGTATCGATTATTTATAATTAATCAATCAAATTGTGATTTGCACAATTTGATTGCAAACGCCAGAAACTGGTATCACTGAGTGCCGTGTATAAAAATATGTGTGCGTAATGCGTATGATAAATTGATGAACGTAGGCACATTCGACTCGCGCGCTCTAACATAATAACCTTGCGTCACTTTGACGCTCGTGTTTTGTACTAGACTGCGTTTCTACTGGGTAATAATTCTATGGGTCCACGACAGTAGTCGAATGCCGAATTCGAACCCACGACTTTTGAGTTCGCACCGTACCATTATAGCCTACTGTTATTTTCGATAATTCTATTGTAGTAGCGTTCTATAGTATGGGCATAGGTACTAAGAGGCTTGATCGGAGAAGCCCGCGGCAATCTCCGCGGCACTTTAAAACAAAACTGGAAGTAGTTCTTGACAGCAAATAGTTAATTAAAGTACAAGCTGCTATTCGGGACCTTGTTCCCTACTCGTATAGATCATAACCTCCTTAACCATTGCATCATAATAATTAATTAAAGTACAAAAGGAAACACTTATTTAAGTCAGAAATTTTATGAAGGACAATAAGATGATTCCCCACACGACATAAGATTAAGGTCCATTGTTGTGGAGGCCGGCGCAGTGACCTCGTCGCTATCGAGGGTCAGGGGGCATGGAGACGCACGCCTCGCTATCACGGACCGGCGTACTGTGCCACTGTTTTACAACATGCTACGACGTGTGCTACTGTTTTGTTGTATAAGTTCAGCTGTTTTAACTGATCGTAAGTGACCCATTTTGTAATTTTATTACTCTTTTCCCAGTTAAAATATTTAAAGAATGAAAAGATTTTTCCTTATTTTTGTGAAGAGGTGATAATTTTCTAAAGGTTACGTAATTTAAATCGACTAAAATCTTTATAACTCTTCGATAGCCTGTTGTGTAGAAAAAGAGCGAATTAACAATACGCAAAATACACAAAGAAATATATTTTTTACAATTTATGACAACAAAAACGTAAATGCATTATCTTTACTATAATAATATTATTGTTTCTCCTATGGACTGCAATAAAGCATGGTCTTCAACTTTAGAGCCAACTGCGTCCAGCCCTTCGTTCGTTTTGTCACGTCGTAAGTAGCATCTAGAGAGTCGTAAATAACGTATTTAGGATAAGAGACATAGTATGTTACATCGACTGTGACACCGAATTAGAATGTAAAATTCCACAGTAAGCGTCGAAAATATCATAAAAATAAGTGATAAAATCAGTAAACATTAGTTTCATTTGTAGTTGTAGATCCGCTCCGCGTACAAAAGATAAACTATACTTATTATTGGTGGGTACCACAGAGTATCCTATTAATACAGAGGAGTAGGTAGGTACTATATGTTTACTTATCTTATATTTCCAGAAACTAACCTTCTAGTTCTAATATGAGATAAAAATTACCCACATAACACAACACAACAATAAGGTTGATGATTCAACATAAACTCAACCGACGAGCATGTATGCGTAGATATATGATTTTGAAAGAAGGGAGAGAAGTGTGGAAGGATAGTGCCAAATGGAAGTACTAAGTAATTTTTTTTATAGAATAGAGGTAACAAATGAACACATAATGCACTTGATGGTAAGTGGATAATGTGGCCGATAGATATCTACATCTATCATCGATTGAGAATTAAAATGCAGAGGCGTTCTCACCACATATGATTAATGTGGAATAGAGATGACAAACGAGCCTATAGTGCACTTGATGGTAAGTGTATGCTATGGCCCAAAGATATCTTCATATTATCGTGATGAAGTGATGTATCTACATCTGTCATCGTTTGCGAATTAGAATGCAGATGCGTTGTCAGCCGTGAGGACTAAGATAGTATGCCTCGTTTCCAGTAAAAAGGGCCTCCGGTTCTCTACACTCACCATATGAAACACAGCAGCATCATTCTGCTGTTTCACGCTGGTATTCTGTGTGTGAGAGAGAGAGAGAGAGTAGAGAGGTCCAAACCCGGTCGAACCGACCTAATCGTGCTGTAGCTCATTTTTTTACTTTAACCATGAAGAAACCCAGCGAGGCTTTTTTTCAAATTATACAATAACAAAGGTTGCACAAACTACTTACATAACTTATTTAAGAAACAGCTTGGAAGCGACCACCTCATTCCCAGGATTTATAATCAACTATGTATTCATTTATATTATAGTAAAACTTTTTATACAGTTTTTGTTTAATAATTTGGTAATTGAGAGACCTTGTATATTTTCTGGGACTTTTTTATAATAGCGTATACCAACATTGCCCCATGAATGAATCAAAGTAAAAGTCTCTGCCTACCCCTATGGGTGACAGGCGTGAGAGTTTATTTTTGTTTATAAATATTGCAGCGCCATGCGTGATCGAGCTGGAGTGTGCGGAGTGCTTGCCGGACAACATGCCCCTGGTGGCGTCGCACCGAGCTAGCAACGGCACTGTAACCGCCGAGGCGGGGGACGAGTTGGTGCTGGAGTGCCGCGGGGGCAAGTTTCTCGCATATCCGCTGCTGGCAACACTCAGCGCTGTTTGTGAGGCGGGACGTTACCGCGTCGCACGCGATGGTACATTGCGACATTTACTCGAGCTGGGCTGTCAAGAGAACATTTTCGAGGATGTTTTGCATGAGGTGCGTTCAATGTGAGATACTGAGTAAAATGTGTTGTTTAAATTTAGGAGTTTATGAATGTAGAACTATCCTGCAGCATTGAAGCCGTATTACGAATCAATTTACCAGGGTTGTTGCCCTGTTTCGTATGCTGAGTGTTAAGGTCCGAAGGCATTTTATCTAGTTACCACATTTCTTAATATAGTTCCCAATTTGACAAAGCTTCTGCAGTTGATTCTTAATTAGATAGATGTCTACGGGCCGCAGCATCCATTTACTTGGACTATGTGCTCGTTCATCACCCTCACTGATATTTGACGTTTTAAAGCGGAAAAGTTGGTAGAGCCATGCTGCAGCCATATTAGTAGTATAGTGGTAGCACGAATGGGTCGGCTCGACCGGGGAAGGACCGCGCTCTCACAGAATACCAGCGTCAAATAGCAGCTTAACACTGCTGTGTTTCGTTTGGTGAGTGTAGAGAACCGGAGATCCTTTCTACTGGAAAAGAGGCATTCCATCTTAGTCCTCACGGGTGGCAACGCATCTGCATTTTGATTCGCAAACGGGGATAAATGTAGATGTCTATGGGCCATAGCAACCACTTACCATTAGGTGGACTGTGTGCTCGTTTGTCACCCTATCCTATAAAAAAAAAGGATTTCCGCAAAGTAACGCCTGATTCTATTAATTGTTTTAAAGCGGTCTGATCAAGCGTTAAGGATTCTTAGCTACACGCATTAATGGTTCATATTAGAAAAATAGAATACTACACCCTCTGTACATAGAACCTTCTGTTTTATAATCTGAGACCTACACCTTGAATGAAAATAATTTTATGGGTTTAATATAAAATTTCGAATGCTTAGCAGCATTAACGGTCACGGGAGATAAAAATTTTCAACATCCTGATTTCAAAGTGAGTTTTCAACTTTTTAGTGGACTGGAAAAAGGAGATAATTCTTAATTCGACTGTATGACTGTTTGTCCTTCTTTTCTCTTTATTTTGTACATGCCTATTACGAGATATGTTTATCAATTTCGAATCTCTTTTAATGATACTTTTTTATTAAATAGGTTAAGATAGTGCAGGCGAGGGCGAGAAAACACGACATTGTAGTCGTTACCTTCAGATTGTGTCGAAGTGTTTTAAGTGCGCTCTATAAAACTATAATGATGGTGACATTTTGATTGATTGACTGCCTCGTTGGTCTAGTGGTCGTAAGCGCGACTGTCAGTTATGAGGTCCTGGGTAGGAATCCCAGATCAGGCCAAAAAGCAGTTTCTGTGTTTTGCTGTCAAGAAATTCTCGGGAATGCCCGGAGTCAGGAAGTTGGTGGTGTATCACCCCTGTGTCTCGGAAAACACGTAAAGCCGTTGGTTTTGCGTCTAGTCTAGAGAGTGCACCTGTGCTAGAGCACTAACTCGTGACTATAATTCTGTCTTGCGTCGATGGCTCATCGTTGAGACGTCACCGTGATCAAAAATCGGCCTAGATACATTATAATTATGAGAGATTGTATGAAACTTCCAGGTGGAGTACTGCAGTCCACCGCTGCAGGGGCGAGCGTATCAACTGCAGACTGCTCATGGTGCTCACCATCTAGCGACGCTCTGCTTCGACCAAGACCGCGGCGTAGCAACGCGCGCGCTCGCCACCAACTCACCTTCCAACGCGCTGCCACTGCCACAGCACCGCGACCACGCCTCCACACGAAGCTTGCTGGGCAACTTCAACCAGATGTTCGATTCCTCAACTCGCAACGCCGCGGAAAAGCTCTACTCCGATGACGTCAGCACGAATCACCGCCTCCGCGAGATCCTTAAGCACGACCGCTTCACCTTCGCGGACCAAACGCTCACCTCCGCCGAACTCCTCAGCACGCACTACTTCGACGACCAGTACATGCGCGTTGCGAAGTTCGTCTCAAACAAGGTCGCGGTGTGGAGGTCGGTCGCAACTGGCAACCTTCACCACTTGCATCGCGACGTTGCCAAATTCATGAAGATGTCGCGTCCGCATACGGTGGTGAATGTCTACGCGGGTACGCACGATGTCCTGTCTTTAAGGACGGGGCACACGAAAACGAAAATCTTTCTCAAACCCGAGAGGTTCCCCGTCCCCAAGTATATATGGACGGTGGTTCACGATAAGAAACAGGAGAAAGCCTTGGCGATAGCAGTGTTGAATGACCCGTTTGTATCGGTGAGTGAGATACGGGAGGCCGTGTTCTGTGAGAGCGCTTGCGGGAGTGTGTCGTGGCTCCACGAGTTGAGACGGCACCGCCATTACGAGAGCCCGGTGTACGGATTAGTGTTCTGTTGCAACGTACACAACTTCACTAGAGTCGTGACTGAGATGCCCGAAGACATAGTGAAGAACGTGCCTGTGGGGAATGCCGGTATGCTCACAGACCTCTATACGTAGGTTTAAAGCTTTAAACAAAGCAGCAACAATGTTAAGAATCGAAATGACCGTTGTATTTTTAGGTATTATTTAAGAATACGTCTCAATAAACAACCTATTAAAAACAAAATGTCGTATTTTTAGTTGTGTATCGCCAGCAACCCAATATCAGGAATTTGCATTTAGAAAAACCCAAAATTAGGGGCTTTTTAGGTGCTAATTAGGTCCTAATAAGTTTAAAAATTAGGTGCTCTAAAATTTTCACCACAACGAACTATTGCTAACAAAACGTCTCGCTATCAACGCAATGAAGTTATTAGATATACGATAAATAAGGAATTAAGTGATAATTAGGTGCTGCAAGTATAGGCAAACAAGGCGACCTTAATAAAAATAAAGTAGTTATTAAGAACATAGCAGATGCAAAATTCAGGTTTTCTGATAATCAAAATAGAATCGAAATTGCTTTTAGAAAAAGCCCCAATTAGGGGCTTTTTAAGTGCTAATTAGGTACCAAGTTTAAAAATTGATTGCTTTAAAATTTTCACCGCAACGAACTGTTGAAATTTGCGTTGCAGGAATATTGACATAGTTACTTCTGCAACGGCTTCGGCGCTGCAGGGAGTGCAGCCCCTTCGCCCTTGCGTAGCAAATCACAAGCACCCATGCTCACCTCCGCAGCTTCGGCTTATTGGTCGCCTAGCCTCAGCCTCTACGGCTCGCACGGATGCCTGCGTTTTGCCACAGCGGGCGGGGGCTGCTCTCCCTCCGCGCCTACGGCTTTACAAAAACACTCTAGGGGTAGGGCAGAAACGACTACGTGGAGTCGGGGAGTTCTGATTTGGTTTTAGTACAGATTCGACCTATCTTATCTATAATATATAACTTATAAAGCACAAAAAATGCCATTCATACTTTATACCTTTATAGTAAGGTAATGGTGGTCCTGGACTCGATAATTCCCAGAATATTACCGTCATCTACATCCGACCCAATAATCTTTCAACACTTAATTAGCACTTAATTCCTTGCTATTAATATTTATCGTATATCTAATAACTTCATTGCGTCAAAGAAAATATACGCTACAATTGCATTTGCTAGCGATACGTTTTGCCAGCAACACAAATTTTAATCGTCTGTTGCGGTGAAAATTTTAGAGCACCTAATATTTTTAAACTTGGCACCTAATTAGCACCTAAAAAGCCCATAATTTTGGATTTTTCCAAATGCAAATTCCCGACTTTGCGTTGCTGGCGAGACACAACTCGTATTTTTGACAAGATTTTTAGGCATGTACAGTTGTACACCCAAGTCACATTTATTTGGTGGGAAATCAAACGCACTTTTCCACACTATTCATCATTCATCATCATCATTATAGCCTTTCACAAGTCCACTGCTGAATATAGGCCTTCCCCAAGGAATGCCACAAAGCACGGTCCTGAGTCACCTGCATCCATCGACTTCCTGCATGTCTTACCAGGTCGTCACTCCATCTAGTGGGGGGACGCCCTACACTTGATCCGCCTACGAGGCCGCCACTTGAGAACTGTTTTCCCCATCGCTTGTCGGTTCTTCGAGCTATATGGCCTGCCCATTGCCACTTCAGCTTACTAATCCGTAGAGCTATGTCGGTTACTCTGGTTCTACTGCGGATATCCTCATTTCTAAGTTTATCACGCAGAGAAACTCCAAGCATAGCCCTCTCCATAACTCGCTGAGTGATCTTGAGCTTCCTCATCCGGCCAGCAGTGAAGGACCACGTCTCAGTTCCATAAGTCATCACTGGCAACACGCACTGGTTGTAAAGTCTCGTTTTTAAGTTTTGAGGTATACTGTAGTGTTATGCTACTTACTTATCATTTTACATTATTTTAAATTCATTTTTCCATTCTGTTTCGATTTTCTGCATTCACTTCAAAACTGGATATTTTACATCACCTTTATTTCCATAGGATCCTGTGACGATTTTAAACCATAAGAACACAATAACAAATCATTTCTACTTCGTATTTTCACATTATCAGCACTTTTAAATTGGTGTCAATGGAGTCTACCTTTTTTCGATCTTTTAGTTAGTTTTCCGTAACTCTACAATTTCGGGCTTTGTGTGGGCAGTTGCGCTACCTTTTTTCCTATATCAATAATATCTCATTTTCCACTTAAATCTTGCCGTTTTCTTATTACAAGCCTAAAACTAAAATTTGACATGTTTTGACATTGTTGTTTATTTGGTCTCCATAGTAATTATATTCAAATTTGCTACTGATCTGTTGTTCCTATTTCGATAATTCCACATAAATACTCTTTTCTCTTGACCATTTACAAAAAATTTGCGTTTAATTTAAATAATTTTTCCGTTCTCTCTAGAAAGGTATAAAAGCCGAACAATCGGTGAAGAAAGGCAGTCTCGCTTCAGTTCTCGAATTGGAAGCATCCTAAAGGCCTTATCCCGGGGCCGCACTGCCCCGGGATCCTGCAAGCCTCCGCCTACACGTGAAGTCTTCGGCGAAGCCTTCTTCAAGCGCGGAGCCGCACCACTCCGGAATCCTACAAGCCTCCATCTACCTCGGAAGTCGTCGGCAGTCTACTTCAAGCGCGGGGGCCACACTACTCCGGGCGCTACGACTGCTTACTTCAGGCGCCGAGTGCACCTACCGCCGGCGCTACCTTTGGGCGCTGCAACTGCTGGCTCCAAGCGTTCAGCGCACCTACTCCAGGCGCTACGTGCGCTGGCTCCGGACGCTGCGTGTGTTGGCTCCAGGCGCTGCGTGCCGTCGCTGCTAAGAAACCTACCTCTACAAGCGCAACCGGCGTGTGCTGGCTCCAGGCGCTGCGTGCCGTCGCTGCTAAGAAACCTACCTCTACAAGCGCAACGTGTGTCGCTTCGACTTTTAGGCTCCACTACAACTCTATATTCCCCTATTCTCCTACCTTTATTTTTTTTGTAATCTAATTGTACTCTCACATCATTCATCATCATCCTCATTTCATTTTTTTTATAAAATTGTAAATACCTTTTTAAAATTTAAATATATTGTTTTCTGGCTCTACTTTTGTTGTTTTGTTGTACTTAGGTTAGGTTCAATTTTTTTTAATTGTCGCTTCACGACATTTGGCGCCCAACGTAAAAGTCCTCTTTCTCTCTTAATTCTTCACCTTTACTGCGCCTTGTCCATTCCCTTTTGATTTAATTGCTCTCCCTTTCGTTCTTAACTCATTATTCATCATACATTTATTCATCCTTTTCATACCTTCCAAATTCTAAAACAACACTTCATCTAGTGTTCCAACTTATTTGGATTATATTTAGACCTACATTTAACACTTACATTCATCACTTTAATATTTTTATTGTAGATAACCTTCCAAATTCTAAAACAACACTTCATCTAGTGTTTCAACTTATCTGGATTATATTTAGACCTACATTTAACACTTACATTCATCACTTTAATATTTTTATTGTAGATAATCTTCCAAATTCTAAAACAAAACTTCATCTAGTTTTTCAACTTATCTGGATTATATTTAGACCTACATTTAACACTTCACTTACATTCATCACTCTAATATTTTTATTCTAGACAACTAAAAGAGGTATAATTTTTAATTAAATTTTTATTTCTTAAACTAAACTTTACAAATTTGACGCTATTACTAAACAATTCGAATCCTTGACTCCACCTTCAACTGAAAATGACTCTCCATCACTTGACCCTCCTGTTGACCCGACTGTCATGGAACCTCCTCTTGTTTCTCAAACTTCTGTATCCTTCACCACCACCTCAATCTTTTGTATATATAAATATCACATTTAATTTGTATATATGTATAAATATCATCATCATTTTCACCTTGTTATTATTTCTTTTAATTTGTTTGTTTGTTTGGTAGGTTAATCTTCACTTTTTATTATTATTTCAGACACATCTCGCTAGTGATGTTGCTGATCTCTGGCTTTGAGCCCTACCGCTCTGGCCGTTCTTAATCTTTACTTAAGTCATAGCGACTAAAGCTTGCTTAAGATTGATTTCTTTATCTTTATCTTCACTTGGGAGCGGTTGACTACTCCCTTAATATTTTTTTTTTCCACGCAGGAGCGGATGACAGCTCCTTAAATAAGCCTGAATGTCCTTTCGAAAACACACTTTTAGAGTGGTGGTACTTACTTAGTAATTTTTTTTTTCCACGCAGGAGCGGATGACAACTCCTTAAATAAGCCTGAATGTCCTTTCGAAAACACACTTTTAGAGTGGTAGTCATTGAATGTGAACTCCACCCTTACCTGAATGGCAGATGATGAATGTAAGAGATAGTATATCTGATTTTGCCTGGTGATGTCTGTTTTTGCAAAGCTGTGTTTTTATGGTTTATTTTACAATGTATATATCAAAATTTTTGCTGAGTCAAAAATTTTCCAGGGTCGGGGGGAAAATGTAGTGTTATGCTACTTACTTATCATTTTACATTATTTTAAATTCATTTTTCCATTCTGTTTCGATTTTCTGCATTCACTTCAAAACTGGATATTTTACATCACCTTTATTTCCATAGGATCCTGTAACGATTTTAAACCATAAGAACACAATAACAAATCATTTCTACTTCGTATTTTCACATTATCAGCACTTTTAAATTGGTGTCAATGGAGTCTACCTTTTTTCGATCTTTTAGTTAGTTTTCCGTAACTCTACAATTTCGGGCTTTGTGTGGGCAGTTGCGCTACCTTTTTTCCTATATCAATAATATCTCATTTTCCACTTAAATCTTGCCGTTTTCTTATTACAAGCCTAAAACTAAAATTTGACATGTTTTGACATTGTTGTTTATTTGGTCTCCATAGTAATTATATTCAAATTTGCTACCGATCTGTTGTTCCTATTTCGATAATTCCACATAAATACTCTTTTCTCTTGACCATTTACAAAAAATTTGCGTTTAATTTAAATAATTTTTCCGTTCTCTCTAGAAAGGTATAAAAGCCGAACAATCGGTGAAGAAAGGCAGTCTCGCTTCAGTTCTCGAATTGGAAGCATCTCCTAAAGGCCTTATCCCGGGGCCGCACTGCCCCGGGATCCTGCAAGCCTCCGCCTACACGTGAAGTCTTCGGCGAAGCCTTCTTCAAGCGCGGAGCCGCACCACTCCGGAATCCTACAAGCCTCCATCTACCTCGGAAGTCGTCGGCAGTCTACTTCAAGCGCGGGGGCCACACTACTCCGGGCGCTACGACTGCTTACTCCAGGCGCCGAGTGCACCTACCGCCGGCGCTACCTTTGGGCGCTGCAACTGCTGGCTCCAAGCGTTCAGCGCACCTACTCCAGGCGCTACGTGCGCTGGCTCCGGACGCTGCGTGTGTTGGCTCCAGGCGCTGCGTGCCGTCGCTGCTAAGAAACCTACCTCTACAAGCGCAACGTGTGTCGCTTCGACTTTTAGGCTCCACTACAACTCTATATTCCCCTTTATTTATTTTGTAATCTAATTGTACTCTCACATCATTCATCATCATCCTCATTTCATTTTTTTTATAAAATTGTAAATACCTTTTTAAAATTTAAATATATTGTTTTCTGGCTCTACTTTTGTTGTTTTGTTGTACTTAGGTTAGGTTCAATTTTTTTTAATTGTCGCTTCACGACAATACCTGACGAGAAGATGTGTCGTAATTTCCCGTACGCTGCCCAGCCGAGTTGAATCCGTCGATTGACCTCTCGGTTGAAGTTGGACTTACCTAGTCGGACTATTTGTCCCAGGTAAACATACTCGTCAACAACTTCGAGCTTAGTGCTCCCAACAACTACCGGCATAGGTGTGACATGGACATTAAACATGATCTTTTTTTGTCCATGTTCATCTTAAGACCTATCCGTTGGGAGACACTATTGAGGTCATTGAACATAGTGCTTAGGTCCTCCAGCGATTCTGCCATAAGGACTATATCGTCGACAAATCGAAGGTGAGTGATGTACTTGCCATTGATGTTAATACCGTATCCTTTTCAGTCCAGAAGCTTGAAAACGTCTTCCAATGCAGCGGTGAAGAGTTTCGGGGATATAACGTCACCCTGTCTTATAACTGTCTGCAGTTGGATAGGTTTCGTACTCTGGTTCTGTACTCGGATAGCCATCGTATGGCTATCGTAGCTCTACTGTACAAACACTTCAGCACTTCGATATACCGACAGTCAACTTGGCACCGCTGAAGGGACTGCAGCACCGCCCAAATTTCGACGGAATCAAAGGCTTTCTCATAGTCCATATACGCAAGGCAAAGTGGCAGATTATACTCCTCTGTCTTCTGTATAATTTGCCGAAGGGTGTGTATGTGGTCTATGGTACTAAAGCCTTTTCGGAAACCGGCTTGTTCAGGAGGCTGGAAGTCGTCAAGTCTGCGTGCGAGACGATTCCTAATGACTCTCGAAAACAGCACGTAGATGCGGCTTAGAAGGGAAATCGGTCTGTAGTTTTTCAAGAGAGCGTTGTCGCCCTTCTTGAAGAACAAAACCACCGCACTTCTGCTCCACGCCTCCGGTGTAATGCTACCATGGAGGACGGAATTAAAGAGCTTCTGAAGGACTTCAAGTACCGGCTTTCCACCCGCTTTTTTTTGTCTCTCAAGTTTCGTGGGAACTGCTAACTATATTTAAGGTAGTTATTTTAGTTATTTTTGTTTTGTTACGCTGAAGGCCTGTTTTCACTTTGATTAGTGCGAGTGCAGGCGATTAGTAATGGCGGGTGATTTGTGTAGGTGTGTAGTGTAAGTAGTGTCCAATTGTGTTTAGTAAATTCAGTTCCTAGTCGTCGACCAGCAAGTACGGACGCGAACATATAGACCTAAAGTTTCTTATTTTGGTATTAACTTCTTTACTTTCAAACTCCGGTATGTTGATAGCTTCACTTATAAGTAGAAATGCTGCATCTCAGGCTTCTTTAACTTTGCAGTTAGGGTGTTTACTATTGTAGACATTCATGTTTTAGTACTCCTGCACAAATTTATAGGTTATGTCTTCGGTCCACTTTGCCATTTTTTGCAACACAAGCGAGTGTCCGAAGCTAAACACACTGTTGTCCAGACGTGTTTATTGGCAGGCACGCCGTGAGTGTGGGGGAAGGGAGGGTGCGCGGGCGTGGATACTCAGTCCACTCGCAAAAAATAGAACACGCTTCTAATCACTTTACTACACAGGTTACTAATCACTTGCACTAATCAATCGCTATCCACACGTGTTTACTCCTAATCAATAAGCACCTGCACTAATCACTAATCAAAGTGAAAACAGGCCTTAAAGAAGTATAACTTCCTACGTGCGTACATAAGTACGCACACGCGTTTTTTAATTTGCAATGAGTTTTAATGATAATAAAATATTCTGGAAAGAGAATAAATATTCTGAGAAGAGAGTGCCTATCAGTTATAATAAAAATTCAAACGACTCTATATCAATGCGCAAGTAATTGTACAGGTCTCCTGGTTTATCAATTTCTATTCTTTATAAGTAAATTGACATGGCTAAACTTATTTCTATTTTTATACGATTTTTTGCACCAAATTCTTTTCTTTTTCTTATCATCGGACAGTATTAATGCAGCACCAGCTACTATTGCAATTTTTCGTCGTTTCGTTATCATGGTAATGTGCACGCACAACTAATCACATAGCCGGTCCGAAACAAACTGATTCAAATTCAAATTAATTTTATTCGTTTGCGATATATGGGTTACAATAGGTCTTAATAATTTTACAAAAATACAGTCATATTCTACGTCCCGGTGTGCAAACTAATTAAATACAAGATTTTTTTTTAATAATTAAAATGGAATTCTGATAACTACATTAACATAAAATAACCCTATTTGTATATTTGCACTACTAACATATTAATAATTCACTAAATAATGTAATAATTAAATAAATTAATGTAATAATTAAAATTATAATGTCCAAGTAATAATGTCAAAATGAGTGTAAATTATTATGTCTCAAAATTAATAACATAGATAAAGTTGTGCGTTTCATTCGGTGTGTGTAGTGTATTGTGGCGACGGACATAGCCGGGCAAACAGCCCGTGGGCATGTCCGTCTAGTGAATTTAGCGCTTTACACTGAATATATCTTCTCCGTTTTCTCTAGAGGTCAAATAAATTACTACTGTTATGATGTCACACACTTATCAAAAAATCTATTATCTTACTTTTAACATAAATTTTCATTTCTTTAATTTATTCCTTGATGTCATAATAGGTCCTAGTGACTTGTGTAACAGGATTTTACGGAAACCTACTTCAGGCACCAGTCTCTCACATAAGATCATTCTGTCAGCCTAATACTATCTTAAGCCATAATTTATTGTATGTAAATTTATGTGATTAGAAAATAACCGATTTTATTTTTATAATAGGAATAATACATTTTAAAGAAGATTTCATTCAAAGATGCGGCAGAAACATCATAGTCTACAAAAGGTTGAAAACGTCACTGTGGTAAGGAACCTCAACTACAATAAAACAAAATGTTAATAATAGTGTTTATTAGAAAATAGTAATATAGCTTATTATTGACACCATAACCATTTAATCCTTCTCGGCGATCGCGGTCAAATGCCTGTCGATCTCGCTCTCCGTTAACACTCTGTGGACAAGTATAATATTTTTTTTAAATGTATCTATAGATATATAAGTGAAATATCACCCACTCACCCACTCAACACGAGATCTATAAAATACAAATTTCAAGTCAAATCGCGCTCTGCGCCCGATTTACTTGAAATTTGTTTTAGCATATATATTATAACATACTCCTATATAACTAATATAACATATCCATATATTATAACGCACCCACTAAGATAGGATTTTGGAAAATTTAACCTCTAAGAGGGTGATAATATAGGACTTTACTGCTTGCATAAAATTTTCGAGTTTTCGCGACAATAACAAGAAACTTAATACCAGCTTAGTATTTTATTTTTTATTTTAAACTACTTTATTGTTTAAGTTCTACGCCGTCGAAGTCGGGGGAAAAGCTAGTCTATTTATAAAGTATTTTGTTGAGACTGTTGTTTCTTAAACAGAATCAAGTCTTAATAGAGTGCGACTAGAAGACTAATGCTCGGTTTCTGAGGTACTTTTATTGGCAGTTTATTTATTCGTTAATGCTATTGGTTCGATAACTCAGAAAGTGCGTTTCCGAATATCGCAATGGAAGAATGAATGTGTGCCGTTTATAGGTTCCATAACTTTATTTGACGTTATATTTCAAGCAAACTCCATCAACTTTTAGTTTATAACGTGATATCGGAACGAAGTTCCTTATCGAACGGTACGGGTTTGACGGATGGGGGCTAGGCGACAAAAAGTGAAAGATTTTTTCGTGACTACCCCTTGTGTCATAGTGTAGACGGCCTTGACGCCGAAATAAAGAAGTGAGATGGAATAATATCCATCTTTTTTTTATAGAAGGGTAACAAGCGAGCACACAGTCCACCTGATGGTAAGTGGTTGCTGTGGCCCATAGACATCTACATCTATCCTCGTATGCGAATCAAAATGCAGTTGCGTTGTAAGCCGTGAGGACTAAGATGAATGCCTCTTTTTCCAGTAAAATGGGTCTTCGGTTCTCCACACTCACCATACGAAGCACAGCAGCATTAAGCCGATATTTTACGCTGGTATTCTGTGAGAGCGTGGTCCTTCCCCGGTCGAGCCGATCCATTCGTGCTACAACTATACAATTAATATAGCTGCAGCATGGCTCTACCACGTGTGATCTCTCTCGCACTTTTTCTTATCTTGCCAAAGAAATATTATTTTGTTTCAAATTACGCTTCATTTTAATAGATGCTAGTAATTCATTTATTTATATTTGTTAATCAATAATATAATTTATCAATAATAATATACTATGCAAGGTACTTCGTTCCAACCGAGTGTTCCACGACACTCACACATTTTTTATTAAAATAAATGGCCAGTGGACGCTAAATATTAAAATATTCAAGAGATAAAACATAGACAACATTTAAGCGTATGTAAATACGAATCTGATTTGGAAGTCATCATCATTATCATCATTACAGCCCTTTACAAGTCCACTGCTGAACATAGGCCTCCCCCAAGGAATGCCACGAAGCACGGTCCTGAGCCACCTGCATCCATCGACTTCCTGCATGTCTTACCAGGTCGTCACTCCATGTCGTGGGGGGTCGCCCTACACTTCGCCCACCGGTACGAGGCTGCCCCTCGAGAACTTTTCTTCAACATCGGTTGTCGGTTCTTCGAGCTATATGGCCGGCCCACTGCCACTTCAGCTTACTATAGTTGTTGAACGATTCGTTGCATATTCAGAAACGCAGTGACAGCTACCAGCGGTTTATCCTATAGCTAACTTTAATGATTCAATAGCTAATAGGAATATGACTGGGAACTTCAGAAACTAGGCATTAGTCATTAGCACTTTATTAGCGGTCAGCCATCGCCCAATCTATTTCTCCTGATAATGCATTTAGAGGCGAAACACGTGTTGTATTATCTACGGTTATGTTCATCGCACTCTGCTATACACTAAAGTTACTTTTTATAATTTTATATTAATTAATTAAGAAGTCTCACTAATGAGGATCAGAGTGCGATGAACATGATAGGTGGACTGTTAGGAGGTCCCGGGCAAGGTGTACGTACTGGAAGCGTGGGTTGTCCTTGGTGACGAGTCCGATCTCTATGTCGGAGGCCTTGAAGTCAACGGCGAGCACCTGCGACAGGCACGAGATGGCCAGCTGTACTGCCTCATCTGTACTCAGCTCTGACCGCTTCTTCAACTGCACACGCAATAACAAATTACTTTATATTTTTATTTTATTTGGAAGACCAATGCCAATATACTCAAACGCTACTCAATTTTAAGATAAGTCTCATGCTGTCTCTATCACTTTAAGTCAAAGTGAATGCGACACCACGACACTTAAGACATTTTAAAATTGAGTAGCGTTTGAATACCAGCTTAAAATAGCAGCTTAACACTGCTGTGTTTCGTATGGTGAGTGTAGAGAACCGGAGAGACCCTTTTTACTGGAAAAGACAGACAATATGAAAAATGAAGATTTTATTATCTGAGTGTTATGAGCCAGTTCTTGACCAACCGGTACCTCACCTGCGCGTAAGTGGTGATGCAGACGAAGATGAAACTATTAATAAGCTTATCCAAAGGCGGAAACTGGTGTGTTACTGTCTAAAGGATATACAAAGCCAGTGTCTCAGCTTCCTTCGTTTGAATTTCGTTAGAATGCAGGTGTCCATGGACTGCATTAGTAATTTAAGTAGACTTAAACGTTTGTTATTAAAATTTTATGAAATGGGCAGAAAGTTTGAAAGAAAAGAAAACACACTGGTAGCTTATAATTTCAAGATTTGGGACGGCCACGCCGAAAGACCATGCTCTCAAAGAAAAGTCCTCACGGCTGACAACGCATCTGCATTCTAATTCGCAAACGAAGATAAATGTAGATGTCTATGGGCCACAGCAACTACTTACCATCAGGTGGACTGTGTGCTCGTTTGTCACCCTTATTCTATATAAAAAAAGAACAATTTGACGCGCGTTCCAAGGCGGTATCCATTTCGCGCGGTTGGAACGCGCGCCAATGTTCGACATCTTGGAGCGCATAATCTATACGTGGCTTTAAAGACCGTAAATAACTAGTGAAGACCTAAAAAAAAGTTGAAGTTACACCAGTGATAAACACTATTCACAACATGTAATATACATATAAAAGAAAAAAGATAAATCATTAAAACATTAGTTTATTAACAAATGCATCAACATCTCATTAAGAGCCACCAAAAATGCACTGTTAAGTATGCATATGGCTGAACACAGCAATAGTGTTAAACAAATTGAAGTAGAGCTATTTCACTAACTTGTTAAAATTATTACTCGCTCACCAAATAAATGTAACTATATTATGCCTATAATTTGTACATGCAAACGGGAGACTCAAAAGTATGTTGTGTTTCAATTACTTAGTATATCCTAGTATACTAAATGAAGCGACAACTTGGTTACACATGCAGCAAATCAACAGATGCAGGTGGGCTCAAGACCGTGCCTTGTGGTATTCCTTGGGGGATGCGTAAATAATTTTGTGCATTGTAGCACAAATGGATCAGCTCGACCAGGGTAGGTCGACGCTCCCACAAAATACCAACGTGAAATTGCAAATAGCAGCTTAATGCTGCTGTGTTTTGTATGGTGAGCATAAAGAACCGAGATACTTTTTACTGGATATGAGGCATTCCATATTTATCCTCAAGGGTAATGACAATGCATCTGCATTTTGATTACATGCACAAATAGCACACAGCATCCACCTACAATCAGGTGGACTGTGTGCTTGTTTGTCACTGTAATCCTATAAAAATAACTGTTTACAATATTCGACACATTTAATAAATGGGAAAAACAATAAGCTTTTGACTCAGTTTTTTTTACATTTTAATAACAAATAAAATATAAATAAATCTTAAAATATAAGAAAATCTATCAATAGATATTAATAAATTACAAAAATATTGATTTATACCATCATGTTATAAAAATCCTATGGTTCCCGTTAATTGGGACATCAGATTCAGTATTTAAACCTATAGAAATAACAAATGCTAAATAATGAATAAAGAATGCTAAAATATTTTACTGCAAATTGTATATGGTTTTTTTTAACTCTGCGTTGGCGATTACACATTAAGGTAAAGTTTATTACTTTTTTAGCAATCTAATTTGTTTCATATTTTTAATAAGCAGAAGTAGCGCAAGAATTATCATTATACTCTATGACACAAGGAGGTAAGTAGCGAGGGTACCTTCTTCTCGAGGTAGGCGTTGGCGTCTGTGGCCTTGGAGCCTGCAGCCACGGCCTTGTACGAGCAGTAGTAGCCCGAGGGGTCCGTCTTGTACACGGCCGGCCCGCTCTCCGCGTCGTAAGCGATCAGCATCATGCCTATACATTCACCAATATTCAATGTATGTACACAAAAATATAAGTTTTTTTTACAGAAGACTGGGCAAAAGAGCATGCGGCAAGAGTTGACCGCCGTTACCGTTACAGCCTATCAAAGTCCACCGCTGAACACAGGACTCCCCCATAGGTTGTCTCATAGAGGATATTTGCCATAGTTGACACACTGGACAAACGGGTTGGGGACCGCAGTTTTTTTTAATTTCAGTCATTATTAGGAGGATAATGCTGCCCATCTTCTGATATGTTTCCCTCTGTAGCCTCTTACGACACCAATGGGGTGATATATATGTGTATAACAGACGGTGTGGATGGTAACGTGAGTTTTAAATAAATAAGTAGTATCCGATCGAACTGGCGGCCAAAAAACCACCTTCGGTGAAACCTTTGGGTTAGGCCAAAATGGGTCAGTTTTTGCCGAAGCCAAAGGTTCCTAGCAAGTGGCGAAATTGGATGAACTGTTATGAATGAGCAAGAACGCGCTAGACATTTTATCATCTCTAAATCAACTAGAGATAACTAAAATAACATTTTTATAATATTATACAGTCAATTTAATAAACCTTTAATTTAAAAGTTTTAAAATAATTTACGTTAATATTTTTTTACCTAATCGTGAACTGAATATACTATGGGTTTTTAATTGGCTTCAGCTTCTGCTTTGGCCGAAGTTTGTGGCGATAGCCGATAAATCAGCTTCAGCCCGAAATCGTTCTTCAGTCGGACACTATAAGTGATATTTACTCTGTAAATACTAGGAACAGACACAAGTTAGTAGTACCAGTTACTCGACTCTACAGAGTATGCGCTTTCACAACAAAATACCAGGAAATATACAAAATCTGACTTCGAACAAGGCTTAATATAATATTATGGATGATAAGTCTCATTTTTCATGGACTGTGGATATTCATTGTATAGTACTGTGTAAGAATATCCACTACCCTATATCGACCCGTGGGTGTCGTAAGAGGCAACAGAAGAAAACAAGTCAGGAGATGGGCTGCAGTGTCTTCCTAATAACAACTATAAAAATAAAAAACCACTACAGTTGTGTAGTTTTTAAACAAAAAATACTGGTAAGTAAGGGTTACTCACTACATCCGAGCGGACGCATCTCTGCGTTCTGCGTGTACACCTGCGAGATGTCGGCAATGCGGCGGCACAGCGTGTGCACGGGGATCTCTGTGCCGTACTTGTATTGCCAATTGGCCGCCTCGTAGCGGGCGCGCTGCACCTGTGACTTGCTGTCCGCTGCGGAACAATGTAACATCTTGTGAGCAGCTGCTGCATTAAAAATGCAACCTAGACAGGTTCTCACAATATTACTTGTATAGGCAACATCGCGGCATTAGTGTGAAGTTGTTGCATAAGATTTTTAAATGTTTGCAATAACATGGTAGGCAAGTGATGTTGCTCTGGGAAAGCAAGAAATGAACTGGGGAGAAACTATTTCTCTTCAACTACTTTATGTGTTGGTGGCCTCAAGTCTGTAGAGTAATTATAAATTGTATTTTGTTATCTTAAATACTTATATGTAGAGCTAGTGTCTGAATATGGTCAACCTAAGTAAAATAAAATTTTACACTTGTATAGACTAAACAAATATTTTTTGTATTTATCATAGAAAATGATAAAAACAACACCATAGCATCTGACCAATGGCAGAAAAATCTCTTATAGTATTGCTTTTATAGGTTTACACATATGGAAATAACAGACCACAAATGGAAATGAGTACCCCCAGTTAAAATGTATAATAATCACATTGGACCAAATTCTGAATTTTAAACCACTCATTTCGTCCTTTGGATGTCGCAAGAGGCGACTATGGGAAATGTCAGAATATCCATCATCCCATTTACGTCAGACCTAAAATACCTAGATCAATGGTGTGCAGCAGCATCAAAGGTGCGAAATGCTTTCCTATCGTCTATCCGCCAGTCAAGTTTGATGATCTGATATAACAAGAGATGCCCATCTTGAGCAGCAGACTTTTATGGGCTGATGATGATGATAATCCACCGATAAGCCCCTTGTGGTACTTTCTATATATACATATATATTTCATTTTGTTTCGTTTTAATGTGTATTGATGTACAATAAAGAATATACTGATTGATTGATTGATAATGACATAGCTTAACATTGGCATACTTCATACATATGACTTTTGAGTTCACACTATTAAACAAAATAAATATCTTTAAAGTATCACAAGTAAACATTACAAAAAATACTCTATTATATTCTTTCAAGTTGTCCAGCAGCAGTGGGTTAAAAACATTTATAAAAAAGATATTCCTACATAGGCTGCACTTAAAGTATCGGGAATGGAATATTTCCACTGTTCCTGTCATATTAAAATCTTTTTAATTGAAAACTCCTTGGTTTTAAAAATCGAAAACCATTTATTTAGTTAAAAAAAGATTCTCGGTCTTGTCGAAAGGTTTTGTCAAACTTGTTTAGTCGTTGAGAAAATGGAATTGACTCGAGAAAATTCAAGAGCGATGATTTATTATGACTTTCGAAGTGGTTTAACACAAAAACAGTGTGTTGACCGGATGATTTCTGCATTTGGTGATGAAGCCCCATCTAAAACCACAATTTATCGCTGGTTTGCTGAATTTCAACGTGGACGTGTCAAGCTCAGTGATGATCCCCGTCAAGGTCGTCCAAAAACTGCAGTTACCCAAGAAAACGTTGATGCTGTGCGTAAGCTGATTGAGGAAGATCGACATGTGACATACCGCGAAATTAAGGCAACTTTAGACATTGGCATGAGTCTGAGTACAAATAATTTTGCATGAACAATTAGGTGTAAAAAAATTGTTTTCCCGATGGATACCGCATTCGCTCTGTGAAGAGCAAAAAGTGGCTCGCGTTACTTGGTGCGTCAGAACTCTCGAAAGATTCCACGCAGGATCCTCAAATGCTGTATACAACATCGTATCAGGTGACGAATCCTGGATATATGCGTACGAACCCGAAACAAAAAACCAGTCACGAGTTTGTGTGTTCGAAAATGAGTTAAAGCCAACAAAAATTGTTCGTTCATGGAGTGTTGCAAAAAATGGTGGCCACGTTTGTCTACAAAACCGGCCATGTTACGACTATTCCTCTTGAGGGACAAAGAACGGTTAATGCAGAATGGTATGCTAGCATTTGTTTGACACAGGTTGTTTCTGAACTCCGTAAAGAGAACTGCAACCGCCGCATCATCCTCCATCACGACAATGCGAGTTCTCACACCGCACACAGAACAAAAGACTTTTTAAGAGCAAGAAAACATAGAATTATTAGACCATCCGCCGTACAGCCCCGACCTAAGCCCTAATGATTTCTATACTTTCCCTAAAATAAAGAATAAATTGCGTGGACAGAGATTTTCATCACCTGAAGAAGCTGTGGACGCCTACAAAACGGCCATTTTGGAGACCATAACTTCTGAATGGAATGGTTGCTTCAATGATTGGTTCAATCGTATGGAAAAATGAGTTAAATTTCGCGGAGAATACTTCGAAAAGCAATAAATACATTTTTAAATAGTAATGTTGTGTCACTTCCTTGATTCCCGAAATTTTCAGTGCCGCCCTTGTACTAAAATAAATGTGAAAACATTTGCATTGTTTCGTGGTAAAGAAAATACCTTCAAATTCACGTAAAGTTGTAATGTTATGAAGTCCTAACTATGATGTCATTTTACAACAATATTTAATGACAATTATGGCCTACACATTTTTCAAATAGAACATATGTGGAAATTTTGAAGATAAGTGATAATAATTAATGGAATAAAACTATTTCTTTTTATGGATTGCTTTTAAACAGGCAAATGCAACTTGCATACCAATCATGCCAGTCATGACACAACCAATGTGGCTAGTTAGCGGGAACAGGTGTGTGACGGAGGCCGGGTCCAGCAGGCGATCTGGCACCTTGCGCTGCGCGGCCACTACTGCGGCTTCCGAGCCGCGCAGTGCCACCGAAGTTAGTCCACCTTGGTTAATTGCCTTCAGTGCATATTCTGAAAATATATTCATTAAAACCCTAATTATTAAAAATATAAAAAAAATTATAAATTCTACTGCCTTGTTGATCTGGTGGTCATGAATGTGATTACTCATCAAGAGATCTTGGCATTGAATCCCAGGTCTGGCCAAAAATTGGGCTATTCTGTCAAGAAAAAATTGGGGTTTTCAGCCCAGAGTCACAATGTTGGTGGTGTTTCACCTCATACCTCGATAAGCACGTAAAGGTGTTGATCCTGTGCCTTATCTCTCTCTGGTTATGTCGGATAAACTTCCCCATCGGACTATGAGAGTGAGAGAATAAAGAATGGACCTCTGCTTGCACATACACTTGGGCTGTCCTGTGGAGATGGCTTGTCTCCATTGAGACTGGCTGTCTTGCCTAAAATTCGGTCTCAAGGACATTCATTAATTTATTCAAAAAGTAAATGTAACAACTCAAAACTAAGGATACATAGGGCAGACTTAAGTTGTTAAAGATAAAATGTATAATGTATATTGTCTTTCTTATCAAAGAATAACTCATAGGAAGGAAGATTCTTGTGTAACAGCCTTGTATCAACAAATACAGTGTAATGCAACTCCTGTATAGATGGAGAATGACCAGATGAGAGTGCAGGAACTTATGTAGATCAGGTGGCTCACAATGTTTTGTGACAAACTATGTTTAGTATTAGTTTATGATGGGCTGTAAACTGAAATGATGTTCATTATAGTGAAAAATTATTTGATTTTTGTCATTTGGTTATATTTATTATGTAGTCATTAAAGAATACTCTTTAATGACTCTATAGAGGTGCATTAAGAGCAACTCTGAATGACAGAATGAGAAACAGCGTGATAAGAGAAAAGTGTGGTTTGCAAGACATTGTGACCAGGATTAAGAAAGGAATGTTTAGATAGTTTGTAAGCATAGAAATCGTAGTCATCTAGAAAGAATAAATGAGGAAAGAGTGACAATGCAAATTTATGTTGCAGAAAGTAATGGCAGTCACCAAGAGACAACCTATACAAAGTTCACCAGGCAAATTGACAATAAATTGAAGAGCGGTCAAACTAAAGTACCCTCAATCGACAAGGAAGTATGCATAGGTCTCAAGATTGTGCCAAATGGAAGTCCACATCCACATCCTGCAATAATTGGGAATAAAGACAACTATTTTATTACTTCGGAACTACTTACCAACTTGATAAAGTCTGCCTTCTGGAGAAAATATAGTAATATGTCTGTCGAATCCAGCACTGCTTTCGCGAGCCATTACTATTTTTGCTACAATTTATTAACCAAATACTATAAACTTTTTAGCAATATTTTTGACAGCCGCTTTTGCTTGTCATTCAAGGCGTTAATATTTCTTATTTCCAGGTATATAAAAAAACGTACTCTGTGGGTGTGTGTCTGTGGCTTTAAATTTTAACAATCATCCAACCATAGACTTAGGGTGTGTTCTGATATACACTGCGAGCACTGCTCATGCTCAGTGCTCTCACTGGTGAAAAATTCGTTATGTTATGGACTGCCAGTATACTGCATCAGTACCCTAGGGAAATATATGACGTCATAAATCGTCGCCATTTTTGTACTGTGAGCACTAGCGCTTTCCAGGTAAGGTGCTCTCAGTACTTTGATCAAATAATATAACAGCGCCTAGAGATTTAACACCATGTAAATACAACATTCAAATAATAATTTTTCTTTTTGAAGAGAAAACATGTACATGATAAATATTTTCATTTTAAAACAGTGACGAAAATGGGGATGAAGTATATTAAACTGCGTTCCGTTTAAAACAGTAATAACCAGTACAGCAAACTAAAAAGGAAGGCTTTACATAATACTGAATACTGAATTACAGTGGTCACAGTGTATATCGGAACACACCCTTAGACTAGTATATTCTAAGTCCTACCATCCAAGATGAACATTACACCATGGATAAATTAATATGTAGCTAGCTAAGAACACTACACCATAGATATAGTATACATGAGACTAGTGATAAAGTGATTAGGGTGAGACCAAAATAGAAATGTACGGGTGTGAGTGAAATGTGCATGTTTGCGAGACGAATAGTGCTGCGCCAAGCATAACTTCAATTATCGATGCAAAGCACTATGTCCGTGTCATAAAATGAATATTTTTATGTTTGAGGGCATAAAAATAAAACTACAAACAAAAAGTTTGTGATTTTTATTTTCCACGAAAAATAATAAATTTATAGTAAAACAGTCGTAAATTCTCCTTAGAGGTATTATGCAATTTTGTTTCACACTTAAATTTAATAATCAAATAAGTTTCGATTATTAATTTAATAATTAAGTATTTATGGTTTGATATTGCTGGCGAATCGTATATATGTATGTCAAATATGTTAAAAAAAATTACAGGACTCAAAGCATTCGTTTACTAATTTTCGAAACATATTTTCGTTTACAATTTTTCTTTTCATATATTTTCGGAAAACTCGTTAAGAATGAATAAACAGAAATAAACAACAGTGTTTACACTACCCGGCTTGTTGGTCGAGGAGCTGCGGAGGCGAGGACATAAGTTGAACCTAACCTATTTTATTTGCTATCTGCCCTAATTGGTACTGTTAAAATAAAACAAATTTCAATAAGAAATCATTTATTATGGTAATAATAATAATAATAATAATGGTATCTTTCTTGTTTTTCATAAAATGGAATAACATTTACATTATAAATGCAAACATAAAAAAATATAGATATTTATTATTTATAATTGATACATCAGCTTACGATTTGAATCGATGTAAAAATCGACTTTTTTCGGAAAGAATCGACATCCCTACTGACGACAATGACATTACAAAATGGCGTCAGTTTTATGGTAGGATTATATATAAACAATGCGAGAATAAATGATTTTCAATAACTTTTTTTCTCAAAAATTACGCGTTTCCGCATGTTGTAACTTTGTGTGTGTGCTTATAATAGTGTAACTTTTCTGTAAAAATACGTATCAACCCCCAACTCGACGGGAGTCAATGAAAAGCTAAGCCCATATTTCATCCAACGTTTCATGATCATGCCAGATTTTCGAATTTTAAATGAACAAAATTAATGTACCTGCGAAAATAATTATATTTTTCATTTAAAATCTGAATAAAAAAATTAAATATGATATCCGGCAGGACCGAACATGCTTATATAACTTACCATTTGTGATAAATTAAGTGCAGAACGTTCTTATATACCAATTAATAATAAATAAGTATTGATTTTAAAAACAGTGTATTTAATTTTTACTCAACTAATCATTATTATTTTATATTAAAAATACTATAATATGGGATCACACTATGGAATCAAGGATCTCCATCCCATCTCCATACATTTGTTTACTGTACAATATTATTGTACAGTAAAGAAAGGTATTTGGTATACAAGCAAAAATATTAATTTTCCTACTACTCTGTCAATATTTATTTTTATTGTGTGCGTCATAACTTTTTAACTTTGTTCATATTGATATAAAACAAAACGTGTGTGCGTGCGTACTTATGTACGCGTAGAAGTTATACTACTTTAGCGTAACAAAACAAAAATAACTAAAATAATACACGTTTTATACATTCATATATATTTAAATAACTACCGCGAATATAGTTATCAGTTCTCACGAAAACTTAACAATTGACAGACAATTACCAATTGAAGTTGAAATTTTATCATTATATAATATTAGATACAATAGATAATTCAATCTTATCATTTTTCTCAAAAGCGCCAAAAAAGTATATCTTCTAAACTTGAGTAAGCACTTAGCACACTCAGAACATTGTTTAAAACAAGTTGCAAGTTAGCTGCCTGCATACTTAACTCATTGTTTGACTGTGTACCTAACACAAAAAATCTGTAGCAGTGTGCATTGCGTAAGTGTACATATGCGGTGAAGCCTCGTGAAGCAGCTCAAGCGAAATTCAAGGGATAGCAATCCAAACCTAATTTAACAACCCAACAATATCCATTGCTTCATGTGATTGAAAAATTCATTTGCTCGACATCAAAAACCACGCAATGGATGTTGTTATACTGTCAAATTGATATGGTTTGCCATTTTAGGTGTGTTACGCAATTAGGCTATGGTTTTAATTTCTTTAATTATCTATACAAATAAATAAAATTAAAGTGTCTGCTTGTAATGTCAAAATTACAGCTATTTACTAAATGCATATGAAAGTATATACGGTACTAATAACAAAAATACAATTTTTAAAGTTTTTGTCTGTCTGTCCGTCTGTTTGTTCCGGCTAACCTCCGAAACAGCTAGACCAATTTTGAAGGGATTTTCATTGGCAGATAGCTGATGTCACAAGGAGTAACTTAGGCTACTTTTATTTTAGAAAAAGAATTAGGGTTCCGCGCAAAAATATTCAAACCCCAAATAACACGCGGGAAAAGTCGCGAGGAACAGCTAGTATGAAGTAAGAACAAATTTTTATTGAAAGTAATTTTTTACTTTACCACTGATTCGGAAAAAACCTCTGTCCTGGGAAGAATCAGCAAAAAACACAGGAGGACTTTATTTATAACTAAATTTTACATGAATGGTTGGACAAACTATTTACACAAATTATTTTGGAAACAGCTTGCAAGCTATTACCTCATTCCCAGGAGTTCTTATCAACCATACATTCATTTATATTATAATAACCCTTTCTATACAGATTTTGTTAAATAAAATATTTGAATAGGGAGACCTTGTATATTTTCTGAGACTTTGTTGTAATAACGTATACATTGCCCCAAGCATGAATTACTAACTCTGTGGAGTCGAGAAACTAGTATCACCAGCTTGTGTTTGTTACTAGTGCTTGCAGAGTGTATATCACTTTTTTTTTACTTAGAATACTATTGTTGTTGTGAACATACATTAAATTTTCGTAAATATACTGAGAGGCAAAAGTTAATATATTTAGTTCTTTAATTTTTTTTTTCTAATAGACCCTCTCTATTTTAGGCTGTAAATAGCTCTTAAGCTTTGCGTTGAGAGGGATGCCAAGAAAAACAGTGGATTCAATAGAGCCCAGCTCTTCCCCGTTTAAAACGCATTGGTATTCATATTTTTAACATTCGTTGTTGTAAATATAATACATGTAGTTTAAGTGAAGAAGAATGAATGCGAAAGGGCACTGTCTGTAGTGTGAATTTCTTTATTAATATAATATTAATAAAATATAAACGGGTACCTAGGTACCTGTATAAAAAATAAAACGGTCAATATGTACTCAATTTTTCCGCTTTTATTTCACCAGCAAACATTTCAAAATGATTTTTAAACAAATTAGTTGCAATTACTCATTGGCATAATCATAAGAAGACAGCAACTAAAAAAAATGTTTAATTTTATTTATAAACAGTTTCTGTTAGTTTATTACATAAATATGTGTAATTCTTTCTTGTGCTAAATATTCAAACGAAATGCTTATTTTGATTATTGCGATAAGTTGGTATAATCGATGCAAATCAAGTCGTTGTGCAAATCAAAACATAAGCATGTAAACAATACGTCATAAAGGAGTTTTGGCTAGGACTTTACCGGCGGTGGATTGCTGCTCCTGTATTATTGTTTAAATAATGGTTTAAAGTAGATTTTGATATGTCAAAGTGGTGCGATTTTTTGTATCAAACGTCGGCGTATATGAACTATTAGTAGAAATTGTGAAGCAAGTGCTCCGATGGTGATATGAATCTAGGGTTGCCAGATGGTCGGGTTTCGTCTGGATTCCCCCGACATTTTAAATGATCTCCAGACTCCCGACAAAACTCAAAATCTCCAGACAAACAGCTTCTTGGAAAGTTCTATACAAAATAATAATTTGAAATTGCCACGTGCGTTCACGTTCTTCTTCGTCATGTCCCGATAAGATGGCTATCTCTTTTGCCCACTTTAGATAATTTACTGTATTGTTAGACTGCTGTAAAGCAGTTTTTTTTTTGTTGAAAGGGGAAGACGAAAAGAGATATTAATATGGGAGTTTGTAACAAGAAAGTATTAGCCATATTGATAATAATAGTGAACGGATTGACGAATGCAAACAGGAAGGCGATTTCAGAAGCCTATTTATACTTTGTACTTTGTAACGTAATGTTGGAGTTCCAAGTAGCAATTTTAGCATTCGAAAGTGCTGCAGGCACTGTCCTACAACTTAAAAGTGTAATGAAAAAACTAATGAGTCATCTAAAAACAGGTTGGGTGACAAATTCTTAGGTAGTAGAAAAATAACCTTATCAAGGAACGTTTCCGATAGTGAGAAAACCCCTTTTTGCGTCAAAGCTGAACATTTTTTAAAACGAGCTATTCAATACTTGCAAGAACACTATTTCTGTGAGAACTCTCTTTAAAAATTCGCTGTATTACCTTTAGAAGGTGCAAATTTATTTACGTGGGAAGAGAGAGTTATCCGTCTGACGTACTTAATATTTCAAACCGATATTGACTTTATATACCGATATATCTCTTCGAGAAACACTTAAACGTCTTCCAAAAAATATGTAAAATGACAAAATTTGAGCATTTTTTTAAAATGCAACCAAAACGACCTAAAACTTGAAAAATAATATATAATAATATATATGCCGATTCCTATACGCAAGTGTTTAGTTTGCTATATAATTTATATACCAAAGAGAGAAATCGTTAGTAATTGAATTGAACAAAAAATAGTTTCTGAATACTACTAAAGGAACTAAAGTGGGGGGATCAGTAAAGTCCAATGCCAAATACATGTGACAACCTAAAATTTAAGTATAATTAAATTGGTTATATGTCAACAATGCTTAGTCTTTTTGTAGCCTATTAATTAAAAAAATATTTTTATTTTACGTTTTTATTTTTCATATTAATTTCTCCCGACAACAACCCCAAAATCCCGACTTTTTCAAATTTTGTCCAGATATTTTGGCCTTCCGATCTGGCAACCCTATATGAATCTCAAGATAAGGTGTCTGTCTATATGTTTAGATACCTTGAGATGCTATCACAAACAGTCTGCTGGCTCAAGTTGCCGTCAAAATCTTCCATAAACTACGCAATGTGACGCATCAACACATTGTGTAGCAGTGAAGTAAAGGATTATTACCATTTGATACTGATGTAAATGAAGACATGGCTTAAAAAACAAGCATCTAAGCCAAAAATCTTTATAAAAATAGTTGGCAGCGCCGCATTTTAATATTTTATTATGTTTAAACCTATGTCTATACCGTGTTGCCAACTTAGTGGATTTTCCAATAAAACTGGTGGTTTTTATCCCCGTTCTAGTGGAGAATTATTGATTTTAGTAGCTGCTGGGTTTTCTAGTGGTTCAGTAGAATTCAGTTTAATTTAGTGGAAAGATGATTACTTAACCATACGTCATAAGTTTCGAAACATATTTAGACTCTATATCAGGAGTATTTACTTTTACTGCATAAGCATTACTGATTCATCAGACATGACGTGACGTCAGACAATCCATTCTGGTGGCTACACTATTCGCTTGGATTCCTTATACAATATATTATAGTAGTAACTCACTAAACTCAATGTCGTACTTTTCGGATTTTTTACGTTTCTATGCTGAAACAGTAGTGTTTTAACAGTGGTAGAGCAACGTGGCAGTTTTTGCTGTCGCAAGGATGGGCCGGCTCGAACTGGGGTGGTACCACGACTTCACAGAATACCAGCGTGAAGTAGAGGTTTACCTCTGCGTTTCGCTTGGTGAGTGCAGGTGGCCGGAGGCCCTTTTTACTGGAAATGAGGCATTCCATCTTAGTCCTCACGGGTGACAACGCATCTGCATTTTGATTTGTAATAGAGGATATATGTAGATGTCTATGGGCCGCAGCAACCACTTAAATCAGGTGGACTGTGTGCTCGCTTGTCACCCTTATCCTATAAAAAAAAAGTATACGCACAAGTTTCGGGATTCTTGGCTTCAAGACCCACATTTAAAGGATTGGATCCAAGTGATTGGAAGTACTACGGTTCAAATAGTGAAATGCAAATTTTGTGGTACAATTGTAAGGATGATGATGCAAACCGAAGATGCCGACAAAAATGGTTCATCTGTAGAAGACGATCTAAATTAAAATATCATGAAGTACTTGATAAAATAGTATTTTTAAATAACGTTACCTCTACACTAGGATTTTTCCTGTATCATGGCTTACTTTTTTTTTACATGGGGAAATGCCTACGCATACCCGCCTTGCGGGGGCTAGGATGGGTTATATTGGACTCGCACCGACTAAAACCCAATGGTGTTCCACATTCGCCGCATATTGGCAGGGCCACGGGAATATTTTCACAAACATCCGCGGCCTCACCAGTGCCGGCCGCCCCATGGCAGCCCCTTCTCGGTTGAGGACCTCTCCTCCCCATTCTCCTTCTCAGGCAAGGCGCACAGGAACACAAGGTACGCCCCCCTCCAAGGCCTTCAACTTCACCTACGTTACGGACCTCCCCCCCCACCCCCCCGAGTCCAATATGCGGAGGCCATGGGGCCAGGAAAATCGAGCGCTTAGTAGCACCCGCTTTCCCGACACCAAAGGTGGATCTCGTTCATCCGCCAACCAAGTAAGTTTCGGCGGCGGAGGGTGGGGAGAGCGGCGCCTCGCATTACCGACAATTCTTTCCCCCTGCGGCCCCACCACCAACGCATCAACGGTGAGGCTCCGTCTGAGTCGCGGGGGATAGGGCGAGTGGCGCATCGCCATACATCCGAAGTTGGCTCGCCAAGCCCACTCGGAGTGGCCACCTCGGGCTGGCCCTACACCACGGGTGACCAAGCCACGGCTACTAAGCCCCCCCGCCATGACAAGGCAACCCGTTCGGGGGGATCATGGCTTACCTTACATCAGTTTCACAGGACAAGCACCCAGACCTGGAATAATTATTTTGTAGGCCATACAAATACCTGTTCCGTGCGGTATTCGAACCTGGGGCCATCATTGCTAAGCCGTTGACGCCACGGGCCCATCTTACATTCTTGGTGTTGCCTTGTTGATTTACTAATTGTATGTTGATTGATTTGTTATTTACTTATAAGTTTAGTATTTTATTTCACAGTTTGTAATAAAAACAAACCTTTTTCTTTCGTAATAAACAAAATGTTGTTTGGAGGAAAATTTGGATATTATGATTTTGATAACGCTTTTTGTTAGTGACTTTCTGGTAGTGTTAGAAGCTTAGAAGTTGAATTTGGTGGGAGTTAGTTGTTGGTAAGTATCACATTAGTCTGTGGTTGTTGGTAACACTGTCTGTTTTGATTTGACTTTTCCACTTGACTTTTGTCTTTTTTGGTAGTTGGTAGACTGTGTAGTGTAGGGGGAGGTTGTGTTGTGTGATTTAATTTTATTTCGATTTCCATTTGTTTCTTCACATTTAGCCGTTTTCATCAATTATACTTTAATAAAGCAACATTTAAGTAGAGTTTAATAGTTTTCTCTTAACGAAAGAGCCTTTAGTTGTGGAGTTTTGTAAAGGTTTAGATTACGAAAATGACAGAGACCGTTACAAATACAAACGAGAGGAAATCTCTGTTTTCCTCTTTTTTAGAAGTCCTGGAAGCCAGAGAAAAGCAAGTGCAGGCAGAGAGGCAACTCGAAGAAGAAAAATATCAGAGGAGAACTCAAAGAATATATGACTTTCATGGTATGAGCTTTTCGAAATCTTAAGAAAAAGGCGATATTCAAATATTTGTATTCAAATTCCTTTTTATGTTTTGTAATTAAATACACATTGACAAATAAATGTTCTCTGTTCTGGATCTGCAAGTTTTGTAATAAAAAAATAAAAATTTAAATAACGTTTTATCAACCAGATTTTTTTAATGCGGTCCCTGCTTACACATCTTGGTTGTATTAAAATATTAAAACACTGTAACTATTATTTACATCGTAGTTAAGAATTATGTAAATATCTTGTTAGAATTATTAAACATAGTCTTCAACAAATGTAGTCTTCATCTTTGTCAGTCTATAACAGTCCACTGTTGCACATGGACCCAGTGTAGAGATTAGCAGTAAATGTAGTCGGACCATTGCTTATTTATCTTCCTAATTTTTATGAGATATGCCACACATTAGTTCTATGTCAGATCCTACTTATTTTAGATTTTATAAAGTATAGAGTCTCCACAAAATAGTTTGTTACTTAACCATTAGATAACTTGCAATCAGCACTTTGCACACTATACATCTTCTCTAAGTTCTCTTTCAATTTTTTAAATCTTCTTAGGCAGTATGCACACACCTAAGTAGACCTTGCTGTTCAGGCACTAGACAGTTAAAAAAATTGTGTTTACTTTGTCAAAGCCAGTCCAAGGATAATTACTAGTCTAAATTAGTTTAAACTCTTCTAGCACCCTCCTTCTTAGTATTAGTCTTAGTTCATTTCGTACTTCTGTTGACCTCACAAAGTTCACCTTCTGTTGAGATTCACAAATATATATAATGAATTATGAATTTCACTTAATTGTTATCTTCCTTCATCTAGGGAAAAAAGGTATTTGAGTGGCAGCCTCGTAACAATAAGTGAAGTGTAGGGCTCCCATTAGATTAAGTGATGAACTGGTATATGATATAGATATACTGATAGATGCAGGAATTCATTGGACACAGGTGGCTCAGAATCATGTTTAGTGGCATTCCTTAGGGAAGGCCCTATGTTTATCAATAGATGTGTGAAGCGCTGTGTGAAGGAACAATAATGTTGATAGTTTTTAACATTTTTAGTTTTGGCAAATAAAATGTGATAACTCTGAAACTGATGCTGCTGTGTTTATGCAGTTATATTATTATTATGGTATTAATTAGACAGTTCCCACTTGTGATTTAAATGTATTTAATACACATACACATTTTTTTGCATAGTTGAGCCATGCTGCAGCTATATTAATTGTATAGTTATAGAACAAATGGGTTGGCTCAACTAGGTAAGGATCACGCCCTCACAGAATACAAGCGTAAAATAGCTTAATGCTGCTATGTTGCGTATGATGAGTGTAGAGAACTGTAGATCCTTTTTACTGGAAAAGGGGCATTCCATCTTAGTCCTCACGGCTGACAATGCATCTGCATACTGATTTCTAATCGAGGATAGATGTAAATGTCTGTGGGCCACAGCAACCACTTACGCTCAGGTGGATTGTATGCTCGTTTGTCACCCTTATCCTATAAAAAATATATACACACACCCTTATATAAAATATTATATGTGAAGGACTCTTAGACAGGAAACAAAGCTGCAGTGTGGCAAATATGACAGCATACAGGCAGCTGAACACACATACCTCCAAATGGATGTGGCAAGACTTACAAAACTGATACATATACATACATTGCCCCTAAGTAGCCTGTCTATTGAATTTCTACAACCAATCTCTTTACTACCACTTAGATGTTACAATCATTTATAATAACCATGAGTCTTGGTATTTTCATTTTAGTAAAGATTTACTGCCTGTAATATGTTACTTTGTAAAGTTCTGACTTGAATTAGGCAATATTTTCACCATTTTTGTATCACGGTATTGCATATTGCTAAAATAATGGTCAGTTGTGGAGGTTGGCCATCTCCCAGTGGTGGAAATGTTTCATTTCCCTCTATCGCCTCTTACGATTATCACGGGATGATATGGTATGGTATGACCACCTCGTTGTTCTAGTGGACGTAAACACGATTGCCGATCATGAGGTTATGGGTTCATTTACGGTTGGGCCAAAAAATTTTCAGTAACAGCTCAGAGTCAGGATGTGTGCGGTGTTTCATCCCCGTACCTTGGAAAGCATGTAAAGCCGTTAGTCCTGTGCCCGATCCCTATCGGACTATGAGAATGAAGCAATAGAGAGTGCACCAGTGCGTGTGCATACACTCGGGCACTATAATCCTAACCTGGGTAGATGGCTAGTCTTTGTTGAAACTGGCCACCGTGACTGAAACTACTCAGTACTAAACGCTTAATTCATACTTTAAGTTTCACCGTTTCTTTACATATAAATCCTCTGGTTTTAGCATAGCAGAATACTATCTACTGTTTCAAAACAAACTACCAAAATTATTAATTTCTTGAATATCACACATAAAGTATATGACGATGTTCTATTGCGTACTTTCGCAGAAATAGTGATGTTGAGATATTGGCATAGCACTGTGTAAGTGCAAATACAGGAGACGCATCTTAACCAGGGTTACCACCAGGGCCTGGAATTGGAGATCCAGTTGCAGGTGGTTAAAATCCAGATTTTTTTAAAATAGCTTGGATTTCAGCTGGCATATCGGCAACAAGACTCCAATAGATCGTAATTTTGCTTTATTTCCTAATTAAATATAAGTACATTTAATTCAGCAACAACTTTCAAAATGTTGGTTTCTCCAAAAAAAATATATTGAAATTGATCTTTCGCCGTGGAGATAATCCGGTCTGTATTGAAATCCGAGCGGAGGCCGGTCTTGGATTTTAAAATTCAGTCCGAGACCGGATAGTATCCGGTCAGATCATAATCCTAGGCCCAACGTACCTGTTTGAGAGATAATTGCTTAAGTAAAAACGACAATATGTTACATTCCCGTGCGTAGAGCGTCAACGTCGCGAGGCAGTGGAGCTCCGGCGTTGCCTGGAATACGTGTCGCAGCACGCACATGTGCTGGAGACCGTGCTGCGGGGCGGCGGTAGTGAGGGTGTTCCGTTGGGTGCAGCGCTGCTGAGACAGGCCGCAGCGCTGCAGCGCTGCATGGCGCAGTGTGTGGCCAACGCAGCGCGCATCCGTCAGCTGCTCACCGCAGCGCACCGCCCGCAGATGGACTCCATGCTCGCTAAGATGGTGAGTAGCTTACCTTTTATATTGGACTATTTATCAAGTATTAAGACGAATCAAAATTTATCAGGATGTTAAAACTGTAGTATGAATAAGTTATTACTTGGCTTTTAAATACTTCATAGGTATACAGTGGCTGTCAAAAGTTGTGAATAAACAACTGAGAAGATCTACTTAAGTTGATGAAGTAACACGAAACGAATGATCTTTTTATACTGTACCTTTTTTTTTGACGTCAAATGTTACGATACTTAGTGTTTTTCAATCTATAGTTTTCAAAAGGTTTGTTCTTAACGCATTGTATATAATACTAGGTGGCCAGACAGCCGTTGTTCTACTCTTTCCGATGTACCTTTATCCTATAAAAATCCTTAAATTTGCACTAAAAATATTGAAAACTATCCTAATTCTCAACTTTGAGCAAGCAATACACATTTACAAATTTTCAATAAAATTTGTTGAGCGGTTCCAGAGGTTAGCGTGAACGAACATCATGATCGGGATTTTTATATATTAAATTAAATATTGGTGACCAAAATTGAAATTTTAAAAATTATAGTAAAAATTTGCAATTATTTATGTCTTTATCCTTAAAAGGAATGTATACGGGTGCAAAGATACATATTATGTCGTATATATTTTATCCTAAAAATTTTATAAGAATCTTGTCTGAAATTGTCGAATCCCTTACTTCGAATGGACAGTAGGTACACTCAGAACCTTTAAAGTACTAGTATTAAATATTCATTGCTTAATGACAGCGTCGAGGCGGCATTATACCGTTAATAAATCATGGGACGTCTCCCCGGTCGCCGACATTGTGCACATTTAAGATGACCCTTTGAAAAATGCTTTCGTAATGCTCACCGGAGCTAAGGCTACCAATATTTATTGAGCAAATGAACTGTTTAGGGACTGTTAAGCTGGAAAAAGACGTCTAGTGGCGGTGTAAGAATATCCGCTACCTCACATCGTCCGGTGGGTATTGTAAGAGGCGACAGAGGGTTACTGGAACGGGAGATGGACAGCAGCATCCTTATAACTGCTCAAAATAATAAAAAAAACTGCGACTATTTACCCGCTAGCTAAGGGTAGCAACTATGGCAATCAATGGGGGAGGTATCTGTTCAGCAGTGGACTTTTTATAGGCTACTAACTGATCAGGCAGACGTTGTTCTGCACTCTCCGACGACCCCGCGTCCTATAAAAATTCTTAAATTCGTAGTAAAAAATATTGAGGGTTACTTATAGGGATAAAAACTATCCTATCTGTCAAGTTGGACCAAACTGCACACAATGTGCAAATTTTCATTGCAATCAGTTTAGTAGTTTATGAGTACATCGCGGACAAACAATGTGACACGTAATTTTTATATATACAGATTATGCAGGCTAGAGAAAGAAGAGTACAGCTTATAAATAATTAAGATTTTTTTTTAATTTTGATTTTGTAAAACGTCGGTCTACGACAATCAATCTATTAATCTATCATATTTATTTGAGGGTATAGATGCAAAAAACAAATTGAGTATATACTGACTTTCGGAGGGCGCTTGATAGAGTTCATCATAAAATTTTAGGTACTCCAGAAGTTTGCTTGCAATTGTAATACGCAGTGATTAATGGCGTTGGTTTAACTTTAAATCTTAATTAAGTAACCGTACCTAAAAAACGGTACTTAATGGATACGAATTAGATTTTCTCAGGCGAGTACACCACTCATTTTCGATTTGCCGTCGATATGTAATTGTGGCAGAATCACTGGAAGTACTAAGCCCTATGCTCAATGACCTCAATAGTGTCTCCCAACGTATAGGTTAGTAAGCTAACGTTACCCATGACCTTCGTCTTGTCAATATTTTATTTGCAGACGTTGTACTGCCCTTAGCGGCGAACCTATGTACTATAAACCGCTAAATACTTCAATTTGCAATAAAAAATACTGAGGATCACTTATCGAGTTAAAAACTATCCTATCTCTCAAGTTGGACCAAACTGCACACAGTGTGCAAAATTACATTGAAATCAGTTCAGTAGTTTAGGAGTTCATCGCGGACTAAAAATGTAACACGTAATTTTTATATATAAAATGATTCTTGTGTATGTGTGTTTGTCACTGAACACCTAAATCATAGATTTAGTATTGTAGTATTGTTAGAATATGTATGACCTAAACGGTCCCACTTAAACACCCACAATTTTTTTTGTGTATTTGAGAGGTCTCAGGATGGTTTAGATTCAGCCTTGGGCCCGTTAGGTGGCGCTGCTGTCGAAATCCAGAACTCACTCGTGTGAAGCCGATGCGGATCGTTATGTATAATATATTGACTCTTCATATAAATGATAATAGGCTTCGGATGTATCCTACGTAACATTTAATTTATATCCTAGATCCCAACATCGCGTTGTGTGTGTCTTATATATTTTTTATATAGAACAGAGGGCACACAAGCATGCGGCCTCACTTGATGGTAAGTGTCGACCGCCGCCCATAAACATCTGCAACACCAGGGGCTTGCAGGTACGTTGCCGACCTTTTAAAGCGAACTTACTCCTTGTAAGCTCTCGTTACTTAAAGGTTCCTAAGTCGTATCGGTCCGGAAAAATCGCCGGTGGAAAACGATTCCGCAAAGTAGTCGTGTGCGGAAAAAAATTGACACACTGGTAAAATTTATGATGATGACTGTAGGATTTCACCAAAGTAAAATTAACCCCAAAAATACTCCTTGAGCACCAACGTTAACGAGGCTCATTTACGATCATCTGCTTGACTCACGAAATGTCATGACGCGAGCGCTTTCCTTGGGTCAAGTAGATTTGAGAAATTAGTCAGTTCCGTGTGTGTGGAGCGTAGGGTTGCCAGCTTCTGTTTTATGTTTAAGATGATTTGACAAGATTAATTAAGGGACAAAGGATAAATATAGAGGATATCATATTGTTTTCAATAAAATGCTATTATAGTATCATTAGCGACATTTATTAATAAAAAAGCAATGTTCATAAGCAACGTGATTTTTAAATTGTTTGATCTCAAATAACATAGCGATAGTGACGGCTCCGTGGCGCAATGGCTTAGCAATGAGTTGTTGCGCTGGGGGCCGCGGGTTCGAATCCCGCACGGAACAAGTATTTGTATGGCCTACAAATAATTGTTCCGGGTTTGGATGTTTGTCCTTGTGCAATTTATGTTTGTAAACTGTCTCCACGATACAGGAGAAAACGTGTGGGGGTAACGTTTTTCGTATAAAAAAAAAGTCGAGTACGCGCGATATCATCTTATCCTCTATTAAAAATATCAAATTAGGGGACAAGAACAATTTTTGGGTGTTAAATAGAGGACGACCTTTAAAATAAAGGACGTCTGGTAACCCTAGAGAAACGCCAGATGCGCGCACTCTTCGGGACGCGACGAATCAACGCCGACATTACGTTTCTCACTTTTGGAACGCCTGAGCGCAATTTCATCGTTACATGTTCCATTAGGCCGGCCATATACATACGGAATTCCGTTTCGAGATTCCGTTTCGGAATCCCGAATCGGGATTCCGTGAATACATCACACACACACGTTTTTTTTCCGTTCGGAATAACAAGGGTCAGTTGAGAGACGTTAGCCATTGAGTCTAGACATTCTGCCAGCGAATAATGACGACGATTTTCTAATTGCAAATTACATTGTTGCTGTATCATTCTTACTAGGTGCATCCCCTTATCACCCTAAGCTTGCAATATAGTCAATACTATGTAAAAGGATCTATCTATACAGAGATATTTTTTAAATATTTATGTATGTAAATTCTATCGACGAATTATTAAATAAAATAAGATGAAACGTTACGAAAAGCTATACACCTACAAGATTAAATTTAAAAACATACATAAATACACCTACTCGCTTCGGTCGTGCGACGAACACTGAGCGCATTCCGTACGGAATTTACGTATGTGTGTTGCGACTCGTACAAAATCTATGGAAGACGTGCGTTCGGAGCGGCTTTTTTCCATTCGGGATCCCGAACGCACAGACGATCATACGGAATCTCGAATCGGAGAAAATCCGTACGGAAAAATAACGTACGTGTGTGGCGGGTCATAGATTTTATATAGACTTGCTGCGTTCGGGATTCCGAATCGGAATATCGAAACGGAATCTCGAAACGGAATTCCGTATGTATGTGGCGAGCCTAAGGCCCGCCATATACATACGGAATTCCGTTTCGAGATTCCGTTTCGATATTCCGATTCGGGATTCCGAACGCAGCAAGTCCATATAAAATCTATGACCCGCCACACACGTACGGTAGTTTTCCGTTCGATATTTTGCGGGCAAAACGGGATTCCGTTTGTGTGTGGCCGACCGTTCGAAATTCCGAAACGGAATCTCGAAACGGAATTCCGTATGTATAGAGCGGGCCTTAATGTTTATTTATTTTGCTTGCCATAATAGAGATCATAAAATGTATCTGTCCGACCACAGCTTCCGTTGCCGCTTTCTCGATTAACTAAGGAACGAACATTATAAAATATTTAAAACCAAGCGTGATACTAAAAGGTTTTTTTTTGTGGCGGGCGATAAATATATATTAAAAAATATTTCATGTTGTATTTTGTAAACACTCTTTTAAGTGAAATCATTTTTACACCGAATTCTGAAAGTAACGCGTTCAGTGAATCATAAGTTCATAAGACAAGGAAATGTTTATTTGAGGTTCCTCTTAACTATAATTAAATTAAAGCTGCAGTAGGCCTAATGGTGAGGTCTGCAAGCTCAGAAAGTGTTGGGTTCGAATCTGCCATTCAACTACTATGACAAACCTCCTTCAAATCAACCAATCGTTTACTTATAGCTTACTTAAAGTGATTAAAGTTATTAGTATTACGTTAATAGCACTAGTATTCTTTAAATAAATGAAGTGAATGTCGTTTTTTATTTTCAGCTTTTTTCCTAGTTTTTACATCAATCTCCTACTAGGGTGGTTGCCTATTACCAGCCGTTTAGTGCCAAT